CATTAAAATGGTCTGGCTGCAATGTCACTAGTATTCACGGGAATGATTTGTCATGTACCTCCTACCTTCCTAATTTTGATCTGTAATACCTGAACAATGAGCCACAGCTTCTTGGAAAGTAGCTGAAAGGACAAAGGATCCTACTTCAAGGTGGTCCCACTGGCCGTTTCAGTCAGAGAATTCACTGCCAATTCGACAAACTATTTCAAAAAGAGCATCATTAATTCTGTTAGAGTAACTTGAGTATGGAGAATGAGGGTAAGGGAGGGCTTTGGTGACCTTAAGGGGAGTGATAGCAGTGGAATCTGGGGTGAAAGTCCAGTTGGAGTTGGTTGAGGGAGTAAGAGGAAGCTGGAGGGGGTAGAGACAGTGCATTTGGAAGATTGTTAAAATCAGTTTTCCCATGAAAAGGCCAGAAAAATGGGATAGCAGCCAGACATGAGGTCAAAGGAGAGACTTTGTTAGGATAGGAGATATTAAAGCATATTTGCTCTGCTACTACTGTTTTTGTTTTAATCTTCTGAATCTGAGCTGCTTTGATTGCTTAATTGAAAATGCCTTAATAACGTGTCCTTGTTTTTTGTTAGTTTTAACTTTGAATTAAGATGATCTCATAAACTTTAAGCTATTTGAGCACAGGGATAGAATCATATTTGCCATTTTATCCTCAATAGTATAAACATAGTGTAGTTAGTGAATGTTTTTCAGTAAATGAGCTAAAGATAAGCCAAAAAAAAAATAGAGGTTGCCTATAAAGTTGTCCTTACAATTCATTCATTAGAACCAAATTTTTATTCTTGGCATTCTTCATCATCAGACTGCATATCTGGGGCTAAGATGTATCTGTGTCAAATTGAATTTGGAAATAGCATTGTGGATTTATATAGAAAAGTTACTGTGTATATGCATTGTAGGTAAGTTATTCCTCCAAAAAAGAGAGTTTGAATTTGGAGGCAAGAAAAAGAAAATTCAGACTAAGAAATAGAAAGATCACAGCAATACACATTTGCAATGAAAGTACCTAAAAACCAATTGTTCTAGCAACAATTACATAACTGTTCTTTGCTAATTTAAGGGGGGAAGTACTCTTTTTTTCCTACTATGAGGGCGTATTTTAGTATCTGAAGTTTTGGAATTTGGATGTTCTTATGACTAAAAGTTGAACTAGATTTAAGTTACCAACAGTTTACTGAGCTGTTTCTTATCAACAGATATAATTTTTGACAACCAACTCTTAATGTATAATCACCAAAGCCAAATTTTTAAAAATCAGTCGGTAAAGATATAAGACTAGAATGATCTTTGAGATGATCCCCTGCTTTAAATCAAGACTGAATTTAAATCAGTCAAGACTAAATCTGCTCTAGTTTAGATAATAGGTTTCATAGCATCCTAAACAATCATATGAGTGTATAAATAATTTGGGTGGGATTATTGGTAGTCAGGTTTTAAGAGTTAAGGGATTTTATTACTGGTTTCCCTCTAGCAGATGCATAAAGATGTACTGTACTTAAGTTGCTAGCTATAGTTCTGATTTATTAACTTATAATAAGTAATAAATATATAATAAAGAGTAACTTTCACTTGAGAACTGATATAAAAGATCAACACGTATCTTCTTAGTAGATTTCCAGAATAAAACTCAATTATAAATTCAGGGTTTGATGATGAATTTTGTGTCTATCTGAGTAATCTGTGATGGACAGTTTAGTTCAACTGCAGTCTAGAAGGTTGCTGTGAAGGTATTTTTTAGATGTGATTAACGTTTAAGCCAATAGACATTGAGTAAAGCAAATTACCTTCCACAATGTGGGCCAACCTCATCCAATCAGTTGAAGACCTTAAGAGAAAAGACTGAGGTCCCCTGAAGGAAGTATTTATTTATTTATTTTTAAGATTTTATTTATTTATTTCCAGAGAAAGAGAGAGCACAATCAGGGGGAGCAGCAGGCAGAGGGGGAGGAGCAGGCTCCCTGCTGAGCAAGGAGCCCTATATGGGACTCCATCCCATGGCCTGGAATCATGACCCGAGCGGAAGGCAGACCCTCACTGGATGCCTGAGCCACCCAGGCGTTTCTGAAGAAAGAATTTCTGCCTTGAGGTTGCCTTGGACCCAGGATTGGAATGTTAACTCTTCACTGGGTTTTCAGCTTGCCAGCCTGCTTTGCAGATTTCAAACTTGTCCTCCCCTACAATCCTGTAAGCCAATTCCCTAAAATCGGTCAGTCACTTCCTCCCTTCTCTCTCTTTCTCTCTATCTCTACGTGCCAGTGTGTATGTGTTGGTTCTGTTTCTTTGGAGAACCTTGGCTAATATACAGAGGTTGGAAAACTTTTTCTATAGAGGGTGAGATAGGACCAGATAATAAACCTTTTACGCAATGCAGGCCATACTGTCCCTGTCACACCTACCCAACTCTGCCATTTTAACACAAAAATAGTTGTGTAAATGAATGGGTTTGTCTGTGTTCCAGTAAAAACTTAATCTACAGAAATTGGTGGCTGGCTGTATCTGGAACAGGACTGTAGTTTACCCACCCCCATATTAAATGATTGCCTGATAATCCATGCCAAAGAGGTAAGGGAGGGTGTGTACACACACACACACACACACACGCACACACACTTTTGAGGATGTTTTTTCAAGAAGCAGTTTGTCATCCTTTTGTATATTAGGGGTTATTACTTTGGCTGATAGTCTCAATCTTTAGCTTGGGTTTTACATGTTTTATTTTTACCCAAGAGTTTCTTTAAAAAAAAAAAAAGATTCTATTTGTCTATTTGAGAGAGAGAGTATGAGCAGGGGGGAGGGGCAGAGGGACAAGCTGATTCCTGCTGAGCCTGGAGCCAGATGAGGGGCTGGATCCCAGGACCCTCAGATCATGACCTGAGCCGAAGGCAGACGCTTAACTGACTGAGCCACCCAGGCGCCCCCTCCCCCAAGAGTTTCTTATATACTGCAACAGAAAGTCTCACTCTTATCAATTCTGAACTGATAACTGACCAGTCAGTCTTTTCTCTGATGCCCCATTCTTTTCCTTAGAGGAATGAGTAATGAGGAAAGAGATCACTAGGTGGACAGGGCAGTGGGAAGACACAACTGGCAACCCAGTCTACCAGCTTTGCAGTGTTTATGATGGTTCCAGGTTCCAAGATGTAATCCTTAAAGGCCATCATTTTGCTCTTGGCCAATAGGAACATCTTTGATAAGGCGGGTAATAGTTTACTATCCCCACTTTCTCTCTTCCCACTATAAGTGCCAGGAAAGTGTTGTGATGCCTTAGGATCTTTCAACAAATCAGTCTTTGTTGCCTAGTTGTACCACAGTTAGTTGGGGAAGTTTTAAGTTCTCAGGAATATTGGAAAGTTAGAAATCTCTAAAGCAAGATAATACCACTCTAGGCCACAATGCAGAAAGAAGTTAGGCTAATCCAAGATAAAATTAGGCAAATAAACTTTTGAAGTGAAAATTAAAATTGTGACCCCATAATGTTAATCTGGTATATATTTATCACCATCTGTGTCTGCCTGTCCCATTCCGGGTATTAGAAATGTTAAAGGAAATTGAGCCTAGGAAACATTGAAAGGAGCCACATCAAGGTTGGTGAGAGATCTGGAAGTCATATATTATTTGTACTAAAAGAGAATGTTTAGGGGCACCTGGCTGGCTCAGATGGTTAAGCGTCTGCCTTCGGCTCAGGTCATGATCCCAGGGTCCTGGGATTGAGCCCCACATCAAGCTCCTGGCTCAGCGGGGAGCCTGCTTCTCCCTCTCCCTCTGCCTGTCCTGCTGCTCATGGTCTCTCTCTCTCTCTATCTCTGTGTCTCAAATGAATAAATAAAATCTTAAAAATAAATAAATAAATAAAAGAATATTTAAGGGAGACACAAATAACTTTATGTAAAGGTTTGCCATTTAGATTTTCTGTTTGTTGCTATAGATTGGAAGCCTAGATATCATAGGAAGAAGCCATAAAGAGGCTAATTTCAGCAACCTATAATCCTATAATAATTCTTTAGAGCAATCCAATAATGGAATGGACACTACTCCAAACCTATAGGTTCTTGTTGCTTCTAGAAACGCCTAAACTGACGTTCAGTAGCTCTCTTAGGAAGGATGTTTGTTGGATCAGTTAATCTTAAAAATCTCTCACAACATTACCCTCTGAGTCCAGTGCTTCTTAAGGCAATGGAATCATAATTCCAGGAAATACCAAATCTTTGCTCACTAAAACTTCCAACTTTGAGATAGGCCAAAACTTCCAAAAAAGACTAGTACAAATGGAGGAAGACCAAATGGGCAACAGAACAAGTAGACAGTATAGAAGGTAGGAAAATGTCTGGGTCATCACTCAATACAGTTTCTTGTCCCAGCTTGTTTCAGCTATGTGGTCCCTAATCTAGTGTCCTCATCTACCTTGGGTGTTTACAACAGCCCTGAAGGGATAGCGCTTTCTCAGGCACGTTACCTGCCTCTCTCGTACAGTAGGGAGCTGTCCGTCATTGGGCATAAGAATTTATACTTAGAGAAATTTGGCAAGAAGAGTGTGTGCCATGGACACAACATTTTATTCTTTATAGAGAGTTAACTAGACAGTTGCCAACTTATAAAGTGCATTAAATGTCTCTGGAAATGTAGTGATCTGAAGAATACTGCTTTTATGTGAACCTCAGGTTGGAAGGCAGACTAAGAAACCGTCGATATAGGATTAAGACCCACAAAGAGCGCGCCTGATGGGTTTTGTTTTCTGTGTGGTATTCAGGGCTGAAATGCCAGCAGAGCCCAGGCTGAACGCAGACACCAGTCTTCCTTCTTACCCCTCTCTCCCACAGTGCTCACCTCTCCTCTAAATAAAGTTGAACAAATATTTAAAGAATGTTGATTTGAAGGGGAGCCAAATTATTAACCTACTCGAGAGCCCTATGTCTCTTTCAGGCCCTGTGTTTGCCATAATTGTCATAATCTATCACTTATCTCTTTTTTTCTGTTTATTTCTATAGTGTCCATGGAAAACGTTGGAGAACAAGGTAAGATATGTTTTATTATTGTTTTAGATATAAAATTTTAAAAAGAATTTTAAAAAATAGTATTCATTTAGATTTGGTTGGAATTAATAAATTATACTTTGAGATTGTGCAGTCAAGGTGGGGTTAAAGACTTCTCTCAGTCTCCAGACTGAATTCTTTCAGGCACTTGGCAAAGACCTCTCCCTTGAAGTGGTAGCCATTGTGCCACAGATTCTTGTGGTTTTTAGATATAGGAATATCAACAATCTCCTGTTTCAACTGAAAGTATTACCCCCTACCTGAGTCACCCATATTGTTTGTGGAAAATGTCATTAGCTCTAGTCATTTCACACTGATTTAAGTGTCTTAATGGATTATTGAATTTTTAAGTGATTCTATGAGTATAATCATTTTTTAAAAAGAAGATAAATAATAAATGAAGAGTATCACCATTCTTTAAAAATTGCCACACAGTTTTAAAATACCAAATATGCTGTATTTTAAATTGGCATGTTTTATTCAACTGTGTCTTACAGAATTAATTTATATATTAATGTATCATCCAGAACTGATCATTGTCACTCTATACAAAATTAATATTTTATATTTGCATAGTACATTTCAAGACTAAAACATCATATAAAGTGTGTTTATATACATTGCCTGAAAAAAGTATGCTTTTCTTAACAATTGTCCCCTGTGATAAACAAGACACTATAACTCCTGTTGGCAGAAATCTCTTTTCGCCCAGATGGTCTCTGTTTAATTATGTAGTCCTTAAACAATCAGGGCCAACAGATTTGACCACTGCTAAGCAAAATCAGCAAAGAACTTCTCAGATAGGAACTGCTTTTGCTATTTCTCAGTGAAGTGAAGTTCTTAAAGCCTGAATGTTTTAACATTTGTTTAATTCTGTGTTTGTTATTTAAAGTTGCAGGCATAGCTTCCTTACTTTTATAATTTAGGAAAGGTTGTGGTAGCCTTTTGGCCAATAGATAGGCCTGTCTACAGATGAGAGCTTTCCTTTCATGGGATATTAAATAATTAAATTATTAAAGAATTTGGTTAATTTAGAATAAGTAGATCTTCTGTGAATAACATGATTTCAATTTGTATTTGCATATTATAATGATAATTATGTTCTTCTCATTTTAGTTGTGTGCCTGATTGCTTATCATCTACTTTTTGCAATGTTCGTCTGGTCATACTGGAAAACTATCTTTACATTACCAATGAATCCTTCAAAAGAAGTAAGTTAAAATATTAATAGAGTTATCCTAAAGTTGGAAATCAATAATATTGATGTCTGAAGAATGAATTTTATGTCTTTTTGTTAATGTTTCAAACTTATTGAGTGAGTGTACTGATTCGTTTTTATTAATGTGTCTGTTGGTAAATACTTGAATTTTCACTTGGCAAATATTATTTTTGCACTGGGTGAGTACTGTATATCTGATATTAAATCTGTTGTGTGTTCCATTTCTACTTTAGAGTCAGACATCAGGGCAGATGGATGGATATATAGATAGAGCTGAAGGTAGACATTGCTATATTATAATTATCAATTATCATACTAACAGTAGATTCTTTGGCTGTCAACCACCAGAAACAACAACAACAAAATAACAATGTAACTAATCTTCTCTTACATTCAAAGTCTGTAGCTAGTCCACAGCTTCTTGCTCTGACATGTGTAGCCTCCATTTCCAACATCACCGCTTGGCCTAAGATGGATGCTTCAGTTCCAGCCATCATGTCTACCTTCCAGACAGCAGGGCAGAGAAAGTAGGATAGAGGAGTAGAAGTAAATTTCCTTCTTTTCAAGGATACTTTCTGGAAGTTGCTGATGCCAGCAACTTACTTTAGAACTTAGTTATATGGCCACATTTCTTTGTGCAGGGGGTTGGGAATGCAGTCTTTATTCTCAGTGGTCATGTTAACCATATTAACCATGTCAGAAGGAAATTGTGAATATTGGGGGAGGGGGGAATAGCATTCTCAGCTACAGAAGGTTTTAAGTAGAGTGACATGGTCAAATTTATACTTTGAAAAGATCGTTCTAAATGTTTGTTTCTGTCTTTCACCCTGGTTAAAAGTTCTTGGAGCAAAGGACTGTGTCTTAACTCACTTCTGTATTGTTGGCACTTAGTCCAGTACATATTTGTTGAATTGAAATAAACTTTGTTCCAGTAATAATAGTAGAGTTTTAGTTAGCCAAGTTAAAAGAAAAAGAAAGAAAAAAGAAAGGTCTAGGCATCATTGCAAATTGTTCCCTGAAGTAATCTGTTTAAAAAATGCAGCTGTGGTCAAAAAGGCCAATAAATATGCTGTATGAGCTGGGAAAGGATATTAAAAATAAAACCACAGATATTTGCACAGAATTAGTGGTATGCTTGGCTTAAAATGTTTTACATGTAGACTGTTTTTCTTCTACTCTCCATTAATTTTTTTTCCTACCTTTTTTTTTCCTTCCTCCTGCCATGTTTACTTCTTTCCTATTATCTCTCTTACCCCCAACCTGATCTTAGTTGTAAGTATGAGGAAGAAGGCAGACTCCTGTCGTAGGTAATCTCATCCTCTCTGGTGCTTTACCTATGACCTCTGTATTGACAATTCCCAAATCTATTTCCAACTCTGACCTCTCCCATTGCAAACTTATATATTTCCCTGCCAAACATAGCTCCTTAATCCACTGACACCTCAGACACAGCACATCAAAAGCTGAAGTCACCCCCATCCCCTTTCCCAAACCGTGACTCATCTGTTGCTTATACTGGTTAATGCCGCTGCCATCCGGCTCATCCTTCCTGACATTCCAGCCTTCTGGAAGCTTGGCAGCCTTGCCCCGAATTCTCCTGCTTCCTTGCCCCTCCCCCAACATCCAAATCCTGCTGATATATTTACTTCCTAATTTTTCTTTTTTGGTTCCAACGCCCCCCCTTTTTTTTTCCTTTCTTTTTTTCATACCATTACCCTAATTCAGGGTCTCAATCATCTCTTTTGTTGGAGACATTACAGTCTCCCATTCGGTTGCACTGTTTACAGTCTTGCCTACATTCCCTTTCCAGAGCCCTGCAAAGTTTCATCCTTTACCCCAAAACTGGAGGTCTAAAATCAACTTTAACTCCTCCCACTCTACATCCGAGAGCCCTTTCAACCAGTTTCCCTATTCTGTGTATTTTCAACGTAGTATCCAGGGATCCTTTCAAAACATAAGACAGATCATATCATTCTTTTGCTCAGAACTTTCCTTTGATATCCGAGCTCACTCAGAGTAAAAACAATTCTCTACTGTTGCTTAAAAGGCTGCGCATGCCCTGCCCCCACACCACCTTTCTGACCCTCTTCAATGCTGCCTTAGTCACATTGGTCTCCTTGCCCATAGGTCAGTATGCATGTTTCTCCCTCAGGGGTCTCGAAACCGGGTATTTTTCCTTGATCTGGAACATTCTTCCCATAGGTAACTGTGTGGCCAGGTCCCTTACTTACTTCCTATCTCTATGTCTCTGTTCAAATGATACCTTCCTTATCTTTAAGGCTTTCCATGACCACTCTGTATAAAATGGTAAAATCCTATGCCCAGAATTCCCTATAAACCTTAACCTTGCTATATTTTTCTCCATAGCATAGCATTTTATAACTCATTCCATATTCATTTTTTATATTATTTCTAGAATGTAAGCTCTGCAACAGCATGAACTTTATCTGTTTTGTTCACTGACCCATTGCTAGTACCTAGAGCAGTATCTGACTCGTAAAAGGTACTCAATAAGTATTTGCTAAATGTTTCTCCCTAAAAGTATATGTGAGATCATTGGCTACAAATGAGAGGGAGGTAAGTTGACTGAGGTTGAGGAGAGCAGACGTTCAAAATAGTGGTTGGAGAGAGTGGGAAAGTAAAATGTAAAACACAGAAGAAATGACACAGTATTGAGGGAACAGTTGAGATTGAGGACAGTGATTTATACCTGTAGCAGGCTTTGTTGGTGATTTTTCTACACAAAAAACATCCATACCCTTTATTCAATTCCTACAACTGTGTGAGATAGATACTGTTTATTACTGTTTTACAAATGGAACAGTAGGCTCTGAATGTTAGCTCAGTATCCCAGGGCATCTAAAGCTAGTGTGTGGCAGAGCTAATATTCAAAGCAAAGTTGTTCTGACCATCAAGCCTACACTCTTCCCAGCATACCATGCTCTAGTATGGAAAGTGGACACCACATTGGGGGTGGGGCTGCAGCCAGGATATCAGTTGGAGTTGGGGGAAAAAATAGCAGCACTTCCATTTATATATTATGTTTTTAGTGTTTCTTTTTTTAAAATGAAGTTACATATATAAGGCATAGAAATTTATAGAAATATATATGAAATATATAAAAATATATATAAAGTATATATATATACACTTCATATATAATAGCTAATAATAAATATATAAATAAATATGCATATCAGTCTCAAATTATTTTTTTACTGATGGGTCCATGATCAGAAGAATTTGGAGACCATTATTATGAAAGAGTCCTGACTTGCTGGCTAAGAATCTTGAGTTATTCCATTAATAAAATGCAAGATCTCACCCTAATCTTTTAATTGGTCAGCAGCCAGAGACCCTCCCATTGTAAAATGAGGGATCCTTGACTTAAATTGACGTTGGAGTGCTCTCAACTGCTAAAAATCTTAGAAAAATGGGACTAAAATAGCAGGAGAAGGGGTAGTATAAGAAAATAATCTTAATATTTTCTTGTTACTATTGAGAGAATGCTAAGAAATCTGGAAATAAAATTTACCTTTCTATATAACAGGATTGTTAAATTGCTAATAGTTTTTCAATTTATAAGATTTTCTCCCATGAAAGTAAGATAACCATACTAAATTATGCTTTGAAAATGGAGACTAAACAAAAAGAGAAAGGAAAAAATCACTCCACGCTTATATAGCCAGTTTACATGCTGAATTTCTTTTGAGTTATTTTTCCTAGTTGTATTCAACATGCACATAGTCTGGGTTTTTTTTTCCCCCCCACATAGTAGTCCATCATTGGTTTACGGTCATTTTTAATAATGGCATATTTTTCTCACTGAAATATGTAAAAATTTACTCTGTCACATCCCAACTTGGAATTTTAGGCTGATCCCAACTTTTTGTATTACAAATAATTTTGTTAACATGTTTGTACATGTTTTGTACACACTTTTTACCTATGTTTTGGAATATTTCCTTAATATAAATTCTCAAAAGTCAAATTACTAGATCAAGGAAATTTAAGTCACTTTGCCAAATTGTTTGAAAAGAAAATGGTCACAAGTTACAGTGCCAACAGTTTTATCAGAACTTTGGCATTGCATGTTGTCATTAAGAAAGCCGTTGGTTGCCAAGTCAGTGGGCAAGACTGTTCTATGTTTTAAGTTGTACATTTTAGATACTGATGAAATTATATGTTCCTTTTTGTCCTATGTGAAAAACCACTAGCAAAAAATAACATTCTGTGAGTTTTCTACTTGTTATTAGATTTCAGGGTTTTTTCTTAATTTGTATATCCTCTTAAAATTATACTCTTCTTTAACCTGAAAACTCTGTTTGACTTCAGATCTTGGTTTCTGATATCATTCTCTAGGTAAGGAAGGAGGAATCCTTGGAGAAATGGCTGATTCTAGAATTAGGGCAGGAACTAAGAATGTGGGTGGAGGGATGGGTGAAATACATAAAGGGGATTAAGAGGTAGAAACTACCAGTTATAAAATAAATAAGTCACAGAGATGAAAAAAGTACGGCATAAGGAATATAGTTAATAGTATTGTAATAATGTATGGTGACAAATGGTGACAACACTTAACATAGTGAGCACGGAGTAATATATAGAATTGTTGAATCAATATGTTGTACACCTGAAACTAATACAACATTGTATGTTAATTATGCTTAAATAAAAAGTAAAAGTTAAAATTAAAAAAGGTGAACCAGAATATCTTACAGGGATGAAAAGTAAAGTAGTGGTCAAAAGTAAATAAAATAGACTTAACTAGAATAGACTAAAATAAAATTCTCGACTTACGACTGGTTTACATCCTGATAAACCCATTGTAAGTTGAAAATATAGTAAGTTAAAAATGCATTTAATACGTCTAACCCATTGAGCGTGAGAGCTTAGCCTAGCCGACCTCAAACATATTCACAACACTTACATTAGCCTACATCTAGGCAAAATCATTAACACAAAGCCAATTTTATAATAAATTGCTTAATTTATTGAATACTGCACTGAAAGTGAAGAACAGTGGCTGTATGGGGACAAAATGGTTGTTACATGTATCGGGTGTTTACCCTTGTGATCACGTGACCGGCAGGAGCTGTGGCTTGCTGCCAGCACCCCACATCATGAGAGCAGATCATACTGAATATCACCAGCCTGGGAGAAGATACAAATTCAAAATTTGAAGTATGGCTCCTAGTGAATGTGTAGCACTTTCACACTATTGTAAAGGCCAAAAAATCGTTGAACTGCTGTAAGTTGGGGACAATCTGTAGGTTGATGGTGGCATATCAGGGGGACACAGAGCCAATTGAAAACTCCCAATGACCAAAGCTAGAACAATTTGAGCAATAAAATAAATAAACTAGGATTATAACCCAAAGTATAAAATAAATAATCTGTGAGTCTACTGATAAAAGTAAATGAATAAATGCATGAATAAACAGGGAGAAAAGTCTCTTTCATAGAAGAATTTCAAATAATGTAGATACTCTGCCTTCAAGAGGGACAAGAATAAAAAACCCCACTCCGTAAATGTAGGCTGCATGTGGTGAATTTCTTTCAAAGAGTACAGGATAGAAAAGGGAAAATCATGAGGAACTTTGGAGTCGAGAAAGCTGACAAACACTGCCTCAACCAGGTGACCGAGGTTCATGTCAGCACTGATAGGCAATGTTGATAGCATATCCCCTGATTGAATGTGGTAAGAATGGCACTTACCTCTGGCGTCTTCATCCCCCTGACAACTAATCTCAAACCAATCATGAGAAAAACATCAAATTTTAATAGAGAAGCATCTTATAAAATAGCTGGCCAGAATACTCAAAACTGTCAAGGTCAATAAAAACAAGGAAAATCTGAGAAACTGTCAGTCAGGAGGAGCTTAAGGAGATAGGACAAATAAATGTACTGTGACATACTGGATGGGATCCTGGAACAGAAAAAGAAACTCAGTAAAAACTAAAGAAAATTTAAGAAATCTGAATAAACTATGGACTTTAGTTAATAATAATGTATCAGTATTTATTTACTAATTGTGGTAAATATATCATAATGTACTAATATATGATGTTTAATAATGTGGGCAATTTGGTAAGAAGATATATGGGAACCATGTAATATTTTCTCAAATTTTCTATGAATCTAAAGTGTTTCAAAGTTGATAAAACTATTTAAACAAAACAAAAGAACATGCATTAATTGGCCAGAGGACTGCCATAACCTGTAGGTTGGTGGTAGGTCACGGACATTATCTTTTCCACCCTAGGAAATCTTCCATCCTTTCAGATCTCTACAAATGTCGTCTTTCTTCAAATCTATGACATACCTTTGCACATCAAAGTATTCTGGTGGAATGGACTGTATATTTGGTGCATTCCAAGGTAGAATTAGATGTTTGGACATCCATCCTTTACAAGTAATAATGCTACCAACCTGTATTTGGTATTCTGGACCTGATGCAGTGTGTTGTTTATTTATTAATAAAAGCATTAAACATCTGAGGAGTCTTTCAGTTCTGTTACTCACTTTTTAAAAACTGAGATGTAAGGTAGCAAGCAAGTGAAGAGCAACTGATAGAAAAAATGTACTATGCCTTCATAAATGTGACCTTCATTTATTTGTTATTTGTATTCATTTGAGAGAGGACTGGTTGAAGTATAATTTTGAAACACTATGAAATTAATTGATAGGAAAGCAAATGCTGTGGATTTAAACAGAAGGAATATTTAATGTGGAGAATACTTTTTTCAGTTATCTTAGAAACTCTTAAAGATTTAACTATAACCTATCTACTAGTTTAATGCCAGTAAATTTGATATACTAATTTAGAATAATTTGTATTATGTAAATTTATACTTAGAGAAAACTTTTTATTTTCTTTACCTTAATGGGTCTGAAATTTTATAGTATATTTAACTAAGTGTCATGCATATGGGAATATTATGGTAACTTAGAAATTATCTACATTTGAAAACTGGAGATTTGTTTTTGTTTTTAAAATAACCTCAGTAGGGTGTCTGGGTGGCTCAGTTGGTTAAGCGTCTGCCTTTGGCTCAGGTCATGAATCCTAGGGTCCTGGGATCGAGTTCCGCGTCAGGCTCCCTGCTCAGTGGGGAGCCTGCTTCTCCCTCTGCCCCTCCCCCTATTCATTCCCTCAGTCTCTCTCCCTCTCTCTCTCATAAATAAATAAAATCTTTAAAAAATAAAATAACCTCAGTAGAATTGTCAACCTCTAAACATATATTTTTAATTTTTATTTATCTAAAAGAAAGATTTGGGCTCAAATATCATGACCTCATTTTCAACAAATTGCTTTCCTTTCCTTCATTGACATAATTAGATCACTTTTTTAAAACTTAAATTGTGAAATATACATACAAAAAAGAATGTATAATTCACAGTTTAAAGAATAATAAAATGAAAATACCTAAAGTCACCCAAGTATTATAGAAAACATTATTTATATTTTCAGTATTTCCTGTGTACCTTCATGTTGCATTTCCCTGCATTCCTCAAGAAGTACCTACTCTCCTGAAGTTTTGTGTTAATCATTCTCTTGTTTTTTCTTATAATTTTATTATATGTATTTATATATAAATAAGTAATATATACTTATATATAATTATATACTTAAATTTAATAATTTTATTATATATTTATATATAAATATATTTATAATTTTATCTGTAAATTTATATGTAAATTTATATAAATTATAATAAAATATACATAAATACATATATAAATATATATCCATCCCTATAGTGTATAGCTTTCTGGTTTTAAAATTTTATATAAATGGAATCCTATATGTTCTGTAAAATGATCTGTTGTTCAACAGTATGTTGAGATTCTCTGTTGCGCACAGCTGTGGTTCATTAATTGTTCAGTGTAATATAGGATTCAATTATTGGATATTTATCTGTTATCCTTTTGATGGACATTTGGGTTGTGTTTAATTTTTTACATTTCAAACATCGATGCTGTGAATATCCTTTTATTTATCTAAAAGGATATGTGTCCCATGTCTCCTGGGACACATTTATACTTTTTTATACAGACTTTTAAAACTGTTTTTTGTGGTGTGTGTGTGTGTGTGTGTGTAGCCCAAACCAATTTGATTTTTCTCAAATAAGTATTTTTTAATTGGGGAAGCCAAATTGGCAGTTTACAAAGTAAAATGCATGATTAGTTCTTTTGAGTGCTAGAGAATTCATGTAATGATTATCCCTAAGTTAAAATTCACTTAGATGAGAAAACATGTTTGATGGGTTTGTTTCTATTTTTATTCCTAGTAATATCCAGTTGAAAAATTTATCCATTGAGCCAAATTTGTTTATTTTGCCATTTCATTTATTAACATAACTAATATTAGGGTAGAACTCTACAGTTTATAAAACAATTTTACATACTCTATTCCTCTTGAGTTTCACAAACATCTGAGGAAGTAGATATTATTAATTACTCCCTTTTTCTAGATTCATCAACTAATGTTCCACCGGATTAACAGACTTGCCCAGATTCAAACTCTGTTACCACTCTGAATCTGTATGATAGATACTATTAATATATATACCTTTTTGTAGGTGCAGTAGACCAATGTGCTATTTCTTGAGAACACTGACTGAAATTTAATTTTCTTCCACAGTTCCATCTCTCTTATGCAGAGAAAGAATTGCTGGAGAGAGAGCCAAGAGGAGAAGCCCATCAGGAAGTTCTTAGGCGAGCAGCTAAAGATCTTCCCATCTATACCAGGACCATGTCTGGAGGTACACAATTATGAGTGCTTTGGCACCATTGTTATGGTGACTGTCAGCATATTTATATACTGGAAACTGTCAAACCCTTATTGAAAATCATTGTGTTCTGTCTTGGGTAGTTATTGAATCTTTCCTATACAATTCCATAAAACAGACAGGTGAATAACAGCATGGCACAGAGATCTCAACCACATCCGCACTTAAGTTACTTCTGTGGCTTCTCTAGTCACTTACTTGGGACTCAGTAGAGATGCTAGAACTGCTGAACTTCTTTGTAGTTGTATTTGTTTTTTAAGTTTTAAAGTTTTAATTATAGATCTTCCTATTCTTATTTAATTGAAGGGAGCAATTCTATAATGAACATAACATTGGCAATTTTACATAAATTTAAAGCAGTAATTGTATAAAGTGTATAAAACTTAAGGTATTGATATAATTTATCTTTAAAAATGTATGGTAATTTTCATTCCTTTCCTTTTTTTTTTTTTACAAGTGCAATTCAGTTAATCTCTTTTACCTGGGTCAAGATTTTTTTAGGTAGTTTAACAGCTATCTAATTAAAGAATTGTCTTAAAAATGGACACACACAGACTACTGATATTTGTCCACCAAGATTCACCCAGAAATTTTGTAACTTGAGGCCTGTGCCACCCATTTCGGTGGCTACCAGCCCCATGTGGCTGTTGAACACTTAAAATGTGGCCAAATTGAGGTGTGCCCTAAGTGTAAAATACACAATTGGTTTCAAAAGATTTTGGAAAAAAGACTGTAAAATAGCTCATTAATATTTTTATATTATTTATATTTGTTTCTAACTCCCTTGAGAATGTAAAATACCTCGTTAATATTTTTATATTACTTATATTAGTTTCTAACTCACTTGAGAATCATTATTGAATCTAAGTCAAAGTCTTGCAGTTTTTTTCCTGTTTGTTTTCTCTGTTTCTCAATGGGCAGGTGGCAGTTCCCTGATTTAATTTTAATGCCATGGGTTCTAGCCCACAGAGACAGAGCTGTGCTTATATGCGTTTATGTATATTGACCCTATATAAGCCTAGGCAAATATCGAGGAAATTAAAGCCCCCTAAAAATAAATTCCTGCACAAGTTTCCAAAGCTAGTTAATGACCGTGACAGTATCAGGTATGAAAAACGAGTCTCCACATTCATTCCTAGTTCAGGGCTCTTCTACTGTATCCCTTGACACACTGGATTTGGAAAAAGGGAGGAAGCATAAGTCACACAAAAACAAAGTATTAATTTCCATTAATAGTAACTACACTTTGGATTTATAAGTCATCTCTTCGTATAGTTTACATAATGTTAAGACTGTCAGTCTCTTGTTCCTCTCAGGTATTGCATCCCTATCTCCTGAGATGAACTTAGCGTTCTTCAGATTTGTGACAGTGTGGCATACGGTCTGGTCTCCTAACATACTCTTTGTTTATATTTTCAGTGCAAAAATTCCGGATGCCTGCAAAATCAATGTTAACTGACTAGAGTCACTGACTAAATTAAATCACACACAAAGTGTAATAAATAGATTGTGTTGGTCTGATTGATCCCCCTGTGGACTATGTAGAATGGAAAGATAAACACGAGGCAGAATGGATGCTCAGTGCATCAGCCACATTACTTAGCCAAGGCAGGATTGTGAGAGAGGATCTTACCTCACCCCCAGCCAAGACCCATGGGTTCTTTGGAAAGCTTCCTTCTTCACCCTGAGAAATTCTGTGGACGAAAGCAGCTGAAAAGTTCAGTTGATGTGCATGCACTTTATATTTGATAGAGAGAATTGAAGAAAGTGGATGGTAATATTATTCAGGATTTTATGATCCATTTTAAATCCATAGTACTTCCTCCAAACCCCAAAGAGAAAAATGCCAGCTCCCTAGAGTAAACTGATTGCCCTACGCAGAGAAAAATTCGACCACATACACAGTTGCGCGTGGAGGGTAGGAAAGCAGGGTATTAACAAGACTGCTCATCTTGCCTGTTTGTCGTACACTTTCTTCTTATCCAGCCATCTTCGGCTTTTCTTACAGGGATCGCCAAACTTGATCATATTGTTTTTGATTTTTATTCTTTTTTTTTTTTAAGATTTTATTTATCCGACAGTGAGAGACACAGCGAGAGAGGGAACACCAGCAGGGGGAGTGGGAGAGGGAGAAACAGGCTTCCCGCGGAGCAGGGAGCCCAACGCAGGTCGTGATCCCAGGACCCTGGGACCATGACCTGAGCCAAAGGCAGACGCTTAACGACTGAGCCACCCAGGCGCCCCTGATTTTTATTCTTATTAATGAGAACTTTTGCTTTTTTTTAGCTCTCTCTTGCCCTTCATCTTTTTCCACAATTTTTTTTTGTAGATTTTGACTAAGAAGGTAACAACTAGAGCTGATGGAGCTTATCATTTTGCACACAGAAGTTGATAACGTTTTCTTTTCAACATTACCAAAAAAGTTTTTAAATTACATAAGTAATATGTGAATAAACTCTGAAAAAATTAAAGCAAGACAGTTAAAATTCGCCTTGGCTGTTAGGAACTCTTAAATGATAAGCAGATGGTTCATTTTAAATTACAGCGGAATAATTTTAGTTGAATATGATATGGCACATGGAATTTTTTTTTAGTTTTTATTTTAATCACGTGGTGCTCATCATGACAAATGCCCTCCCTAATCCCCATCACCTATTTACCCATCCCCCCCACCCGCCTCCCCTCTGGTAACCATCAGTTTGTTTTCTATAGTTAAGAGTCTGTTTCTTGGTTTGTCTCTCTCTGTCTCTCTTTTTTTTCTTTTTGCCTTTGCCCATTTGTTTTGTTTCTTAAATTCCACATATGAGTGAAATCATATGGTATTTGTCTTTCTCTGACTGGCTTATTCCACTTAGCATTATGCTCTCTAGCTCCATCCATGCCATTGCAAATGGCAAGATTTCATTCTCTTTTATGGCTGAGTAATATCCTATTGTATGTATATATATGGCATATATTCTTTATCCATTCATCAGTTGATGGACACTTGGGCTGCTTCTGTATCTTGGCTATTGTAAATAATCCTGCTGTAAACATAGGGGTGTATATATCCCTTTGAATTAGTGTTTTTGTATTCTTTGGGTATATATCCAGTAGTGCAATTGCTGGATGGTAGAGTAGTTCCAACTTTTTGTGGAACCTCCATACTGTTTTCCACAGTGGCTGCACCAGTTTGCATTCCCACCCACAGTGCACAAGGATTCCCCTTTCTCCACATCCTCACCAACACTTGCTGTTTCTTGTGTTGTTGATTTTAACCATTCTGACAGGTGTGAGGTGATATCTTATTGTAGTTTTGATTTGCATTTCCCTAATGATAAGTGATGATGAGCATCTTTTCATGAGTCTGTTGGCCATCTGCATGTCTTCTTTGGAAAAATGTCTGTTCGTGTCTTTTGCCCATTTTTAAATTGGATTATTTGTTTTTGGGTGTTGATTTGTGTAAGTTCTTTATATGTTTTGGATATGTCATTTGCAAATATCTTCTTCCATTCTGTAGGTTGCCCTTTAGTTTTGTTGATTGTTTCTTTCATGTACAGAAACTTTTATTTCAATGTAGTCCCAATAGTTTATTTTTGCTTTTGTTTCCCTTGCCTCAGGGGACCAATCTGGAAAAAACTTGCTGTGGCCCATGTCGTAGAAATTACTGCCTGTGGTCTCTTCTAGGATTTTTATGGTTCCCTGCCTTACATTTAGGTTTTTAATCCATTTTGAGTTTATTTTTGTGTATGATGTAAGAAAGTGGTCCAGTTTCTTTCTTCTGCATGTTACTATCCAGTTTTCCCAACACCATTTGTTGAACAGACTGTCTTTTCCCCATTGCATATTCTTGCCTCCTTTGTCATACATTAATTGATGATATAATTGTGGGTTTATTTCTGGGTTTTCTATTCTGCTCCATTGATCTACATGTCTATTTTTGTGCCAGTACCGTACTGTTTTGATCACTACAGCTTTGTAATAGAACTAGAAGTGTGGTACTGTATGCCTCCAGCTTTGCTTTTCTTTTTCAAGATTGGTTTGGCTATTCACATATTTTGTAGTTCCATACAAATTTCAGGATTGTTTATTCTAGTTCTGTGAAACATGATGTTTTTATTTTGATAGGGATTGCATCAAATGTGTAGATCACTTCCGGCAGTATAGACATTTTAACAGTGTTTATTCTTCTAATCCATGAGCATGGAATGTCTTTCCATTTCTTCATGTCATCAATTTCTTTCAGCATTTTTTTATAGTTTTCAGAATACAAGTCTTTCACTTCTTTGGTTAGGTTTATTCCTAGGTATCTTACTATTTTTGGTGCAATTGTAAATGGGATTATGGGGCATTTATTGTTTTTCATTTTGTTTTTTTTTACTAAGAGACTAAATTTCTGTTTATGAAAGACTGTAAGCAAAAAGCTTATTTCTACATTGTTTTAATTTCCAGTGAGTTATTACCCACTTTGATTTGAGAAGGTTTTTTGTTGTTGTTTTGTTTGATTGTTTGTTTGTTTTTTCCCAGTGTGCTTTAAAGTAGAGATAATCATCTGGAGAGAATGTAGCATTGCTCACGAAACTCACCACTTAAAGTGCAACTATAAGTGTAAAAAATATATAATAGTTTTCAAAGACTTGGTGTGAAAAAGTGTAAAATATGTGATTAATATTTGTGTATTAATTATATATTGAAATAATATTTTTGATATATTAGGTCAAATATATTTTCTTAAAATTAATTTCCCTGTTTCCTTTTATTTCTTTTAATACAGCTCCTAGAGAATCTAAAAGTACACATGTGGCTCACATTATATTTCTTCTGGATAATATTGCCTTACACTTTAATGCTCTGAGTGAGCCAGTGGTACTGTGGAGCTTTCTCTGGAATGTAGCTGCAAGACTTCTTCCTTCAGGAGATGAGCCAGCCATGCCATTAATCTCTGTAGTTCCCAAAAAAAGGAGAGTTGTAAGGGGGATGATTGAGAACTTATTTTAATATAGAAAACAATTCCATATAGGTCTTGTTGTCTGAAAAAAGCTCATCCTAATCTTAGGATAAGCAACTATTGCTTTTTTCAGGGATCATAATATTAGTTAATATAACAGTGATAATTACTTGTTGCAAGTACTTTTTCCAAATTTTAAATTCACTATTTGGGTTTTTACTGATCCCGTGGCCCACCCAATAACTGTTCTCCTGTAATTTTGGTAGACTGCTTGCATCTTGTAAGATGCCTATGTACTGAAATAGCATCTCCAAACCAGACATACATAATTGTCTTTGATATCTATGTTAGAAAAGAAAGGATCAGGATTTCCATTACAAGAATTAAAATTCAGTATTGGAAGCACTTCTGATACTCACTTCTAGTCTTTTATCTCACCCTACAGAGAACATGTGAGCTCTTTCCCAATTTAAACAACTAATAGAGTTTATTCACAAATTTCTAAAATGTGTTTCTCATAAAAATTTTATTTTTTTAAAGATTTTATGTATTCATTTGAGACACAGAGATAGAGAGCATGAGCAGGGGGAGAGGCAGAGGGAGAGGGAGAAGCAGGCTTCCCACTGAGCCAGGAGCCCGATGTGGGGCTCAATCCCAGGACCCTGGGATCCTGACCTGAGCCGAAGGTAGACACTTAACCAACTGAGCCACCCAGGCGCCCCTCATAAAACTTTTAAAATATGGTTGTATCTTCAGGTACTTATCCTGGTAGGGTACAGGAAATAAATTAATTTACTTGAGGGAGACATTCTGTTTACTTTGATAGAAATGGACATATTTGTACCCTTTGTGAGCCTTACTATCATTACTGACAATTAGGAATACCTTAGAAAAATTACGTCCAAAGATTCTCTATTTCTGAGAAACCTCGTTAGAAAACTGAGGTTGGGGGCGCCTGGCTGGCTCAATCAGAGGAGTGAGCGACTCTTGGTCTTGGGGTCATGAGTTCAAGCCCCATGTTGGGTATAGAGATTACTTAAAAGAAAGAGAGAGAAAAAAAAAGAAAGAGAGAGGGGGAAGGAAGGAAGGAAGGGGAAAGAAAGAAAAGGAAGGAAGGAAGGAAGGAAGGAAGAAAAAGAGAAAGAAAGAAAGAAAAAGAAAGAAAGAAAGAAAAGAAAGAAAACTGAGGCTGTAGGCAAGTCATTCTATTTTTGTATTAACAGTAGAATATCTCATTTTTACCAAATTCAAATTCACTTTGCTTTTTTAGAAGTTAAATTTGGATAGCTGATAAAAGCCATTTAATTGTATATTCAATTCAGTGTTAAATCTAAGACTAAGTGGAGATTTTTGTCCCTAGCAATCCGATATTGTGACAGATGCCAACTCATAAAACCAGACCGCTGCCATCACTGTTCCGTCTGTGATAAGTAAGAAAACCTTTTACTTCTAAATCTCTACATGCTGGTGGTCTTTTTAATTAATATTGTTTCTTTCCTCACTGTTTTCCAGATTATTTCCTTTTTTCCTTAGTTGTGTTTCTGAGACCTTTATTTAGGACGTAGAACTGGACAGTCCCTTGCATTGATACTATTGTGGCTTAGGGCCACAGTCACCTAATTGCCCCCCTTTCCCCCCAGATTCACACTGATGTGAAGAAGTGCATGAATTTTGGCAGCTCAGACTTGGCTAGTTCTGTTTACCAAATACTTCTCTGACTCTTTTTTCACCTTTATAAAGATAGTTCATATGACTACACAATAATCAGATATTTTAGATACTTAATATATCACAAGGACTGTGCTACTTAGCTTAAAGATTGATATTAAAGACAAGTTTTATCCAGACTTTCTGTAAATCTGTTGACATTTTGCCCTTTCTTTAGCATAAGATAATTGTATATTAACATAATGAATTGCTTTCAGGAAATGAGTTTTTTGATTTCTACTTTAAAGTATGTAGATTTTGAAAATTCTATAATTATATATCATAACTGAAATTGGCTATAGTATTTGAGATGAGGACTTTTAGTATTATTTATTTAATTTTTAGATAAGTAATTTTGCAATATTTTACTTGGCACAACTCTTTCTAAATAACTTTTATATTTCCTTTTCATACTTAATGGGTTTAAAATTTTATAAGGTGTTAAGTTTTGTGTGTGTTTATTATTTTTTTAGATGTATTTTGAAGATGGATCATCATTGCCCATGGTGAGTATGGCTCTATACTTAAACATGTTTCTGTCCCTTAGAACTTAATAAATTGAATCATTTATCTGTTCAAATCTTTTTGTAAATGAAATCTTGCCTTAGCTGACCCAGAAGGTACTTTCAGATTTAGTTTCTAGTGTTTGTTGAATTAACACCAAAAAGGTTTTATTCAGGAGAGTTTCCATGGAATAATTTTTAAATGAAGTAGACCAACAACATGAAAGTTAATTTGTCATATTTGCTTAGAACAAATGGTTTTCTTTGTATGCACATGCATCAACACAGAGATTCTGAAACATGTCCCAGAAATTACACCAAAATGAATTCATAAATTATACACAATACCTCACTGGAAGTTTTGAATAACGAATTAATTCATCTCAAGCTTTAACAATTTATTTTAAATAAAACTTGACATTGAGGAGTTTGAATAGCAAATACACAAATACATTATGTGTTTAGGGTTTTCACTTAGAACTCATTAATATTTTAAAAAATAATTTTAGATCAGGCACCTTAACAGAGAATGATTTGAAAGCTCTAATTAACTAATGAAGGTTGATTTTTCTACCTCTCCCTATAATTTTTCTTCTCCATGTGCACATTAGCTACACTCAGGTTGCCGGCCAGGCTGGATTTGGACACTAGGCATGATTACTCTACCAGCCTTGCCTTCTTTCAGGGGTGGCCCTAGAAAAAGGTAGACATGCCCACAAATGTGTGCTGGGTGTAGGTGGAAACATAGGGAATAATTATCTTAGCTGTAGGAAATAATAGGGGAATGTCGGCTTCACCGAATTTTCTCTCTCTAGATACCTCTCACTTTTCTCCAACTAGACTTTCTTCTTTCCGATGTTAAGGCCAGTTAGCTCCTATGAGAGTAATGTTCTCCTCAAAGAAAGATCTCAATGAATAGCCTCACTTGGTATTAATATTCATTTGTAGCCATTCTTTTGCTTTCCTCGTGCTTTCATTCATTCCGTTCTCTCTCAAGTAGCTTTTCCCCCCAATATCTTCTATTTTAAGTTTTCTTAGTCCTCCTTACATTCCTCTGTTGATCCCTCCAGTAGCTCACGTGTCAGTGCCTCACCCACATCTGCACCATCCGCCTGTGGGTTCACTGCACCTGCCGTGGACAGTTCCTGCGCCCTTGGCGGCTCCTCACCTCAGACCCCACTGTTTCTTTCCTTCTCTGCCTGCGGGCTCTCTGTTCCACCTGAGGAGGCTGGGTACGCTGAGAAGCCGGGCAGCCCAGAGGTGCCAGGCGTGAATGTTTCCAGAGGCTCCCCTCAACCAGCGAGGGCCTGGCCAACAACACATGCTTTATGGGCTTTTCTCCCCTCCTTGTTTCAAATAAGCTGTATCCAAGTTCTTGTCTCAGGGTCTGCTCTCGGGAGAACACATGCAAAGACACCCTTCTTTTCTAAGTAGCTGTGTATTCTCAGTATAATTTAGCAGAATGAGAAAGAAATCAAGGACGTAGAGTTGACTTCAATTTTTCTGACTTAGAGTGATAAATATGAGATGGTGATGACAAGGAATGGAAAGGTGGAAACAACCGGTATTAGTTCCAAGCTTCACACACCTATAAAGCATGACGCACCCTTACTAGCCTCACTAAAGCACAAAAATAGGAAATAATAATTTACTGTGATAGCAATCTTTCTAAACCTGCCATTAATTTGCCTTTATAAGAGACTTATAGCATAATTTGACAGTCTTTCAAATTTTGACAAATCTGTTGAATAAGTGAAAGGGAACGGATAGAAGGCTCTAGAGGTTTTAAAAACGGGTATAGATTGCATACCCATAGACTCCCCATTATCATGCTCGCTGTCTATGGCAATGTGGGAATTGTTGAACGAACTGACTGCAGTACCTTTCAACTTCCGTGTCATTGCTTCTTTGTACTGTGGCGCCCCCTGCTGCCCACCGTGTCAGCCACTGTCTCAGCTCTCGCCCTTGCAGAAGGCAGTAAGCCGGGTGGATTTGGGAAGGGTTTGGTGCCAAGGGCCTTGTGTTCACCTGGTGTATTTGAAATTTAAAGTTAAAATTTTAAATTAAAAAAAGGTATGCATAATGCATACGCATGGTTCTAAATGCAAAAATAAAAAAAGTGCCAAGTGTTCGTCCTAGGCCCCCCTCCCCCACTTCTTCTCTTCCTCACAGGGAGCATATCGCTAAATGTCATGAGTACCTTTCACATATAAATGTGTATGGGTGTGTGTGTTACAGTTTTTTACACACACACAAAAATATTTTACACATTTTTTAACACAAGTGGTTCCACTGTGGACTGAGTCTGTGCCTCTTTTTTTTTTTTCCTCTTCACTTAATATATCCTGGAACATTTTCCTTATCAAGATAGAAATAATCTCTTTTTATAGCCGTTATGTCAGTATAACAGTCATTGATTAAAAGATCTTCAGGATGTTCCCAAACTGTGGGGCCAACCTTATTATGCAGGTCTTGTATACAATTTTGAAGTTCAGTATCTGTCAACTTTGAGCATTGAAAAAGCAGAAAGCTTCCTTGTTGTCAGGGGCTCCAGCATATCTGCTAAGGCCAGTTAAGATGACCCATCAGGGTGCAGGGGATCCACCTCGCACTTGTCTTTTAACTGAAATAGAAATCCTGTAGTATTTGCCTTATTGGGTTTCCCATCAAAGAGTTTTTCTTTTAATATAAAATTTTCATTCATTCATTCATTCATTCATTCATTCATTATATTAATGATACGTTTTGACATGCTTGCCAAAGATTAGGTAACACTTATTAAATTCAATAATTTTAGCTTCATATTGAGTGCCTATAATGTGCTAGAGACTATATATATATATATGTGTGTGTGTGTGTGTATATATATAAAATCTGTAATTCTTACAACAGTGACAGAAATTACAGAAATTATTTGTCCCATTTTAAAGAAAAGGGGGACGTGGAGCTCAGAAAAGTTAAAGAGTGGGCTTAAAGTCACATGGCATGTTTTTTTGGACTCCAAAGGCCACATTCTGTCTGTTTTTTTCTATATTATGTTCTTTTTCCTATTTAGAATCAGAAAGCAATTGCCCTGAAACAGGGCCAATTGCTATTTGCACTAAATTTTATTTTTTTTAAGATTTTTTTTAAGATTTCATCTATTTATTTGAGAGAGAGCGCAAGCGAGAAAGAGCATGAGGGGAGGAGGGGTGGAGGGAGAGGGAGAAGCAGGCTCCCCGCCGAGCAGGGAGCCCTATGCAGGGCTCCACCCCAGGACCCTGGGACCATGACCCAAGTCGAAGGCAGACACCCAACCCACTGAGCCACCCAGGTGCCCTTATTTGCACTGAATTTTATTTTTTTTAAGATTTTATTTATTTATTTGATAGAATGAGAGAGAGAGAGAGAGAGAGAACATGAGATGGGGGAGGGTCAGAGGGAGAAGCAGTCTCTCCGCTGAGCAGGGAGCCCGATGCGGGACTCGATCCCGGGACTCCAGGATCATGACCTGAGCCGAAGGCAGTTGCCCAACCAACTGAGCCACCCAGGCGCCCCTGCACTGAATTTTAAACAGCATATAAGGGATAATTACCTTGAGCATGTTTTGTTTCTCCATATAAAATCATTCAGACTCAGAATACATCTCTTCCTTTTCAAATTGAGTCTACAAAGCAGTAGGGAGTTAAAACATTTCACTGTCTGTTATGAAGAGACATTTTATTACTACATTTCCTCAAGTGTAAAGTACATATCAAATGCTAAGATACTTGGTTTTTATTTACTGACTTTCTCTTCTGTTTCCTAAGTGACAGATAAGTTACATTACACCATGTTCCTAAATAGAAGTTAAAGTAAATTAGATGTTATGAAATCTGTAATCAAAATCATTTTACTTTTTATAAAAATGCTATGTATCATTTAATATAAAAGCTGCCTTCTTACATTCTCATAGGAAGAGAAACAATCTTTCTTATCCCTTCTTATTTTCCCCCAGTGCACAAAAGTCATTGTCTTCACCCTCACCCTCCAAAGTGTTATGGCTCCCCAGCTTCTGTCTATGCATTCTCTCCTCTGGAAACTAAACAAGAAAGCAAGGGGAATATCCTGTATCCTTTGGAGACAGAATGCAATTGGACTAGGCTTGTTTGGAACTCTGCAGTATGATTTCTTGCCATTATTTCATTCAGATGTCAGAGAAGGCAGCCTCAGTAATTGGTTTGCACTCACACTAGAACCGTCACGTTTTCATATCATGTGCACCTACAATTTTTGCCTTCTTTATGAGCTTATTTGCCATATAAAATACCCTTATGTTCCAAAGTTACTAAATCTAGTCCTGGTCCCTTTACCTTATGTTTCTTGAGGTAGATGATATAAGCACTTTTCTGTTTCTTTCCCCCCAAATATTCAGTTTATTCATAAGCCTGATAATGTTTACCTTTTTAGTTTTTTTAATTAATTTTTTTTATTGTAGGTACACTTACGTGGCACCTAATCTCTTCACACATTTTTAAGTGCACAGTACAGTATTGTTAACCATGGGCACAGTGTCGTATAGCGGACTTCTGGAGCTTATTTATCTTGCATAGTTGAGTAAACATTTTCATGTGTACATTGTTTCACTTTAAAAATATAAAAAGAAAAATGTCTCAGCTTATGAGCAAAGTCAATAGAGACTGAGACTACCTGGCTAACATTAGAGTAGGACAAAGACATTTGAGGAGAGAAAACAGTATGTGTACATTCCATGCAGTAGGTTTATTATACCAGTTAACACAGTTACCTCAACCAGATACCCGTGATTTCCACTTAGGTGTTGTGTCACGTGCACAACAAGATCAGCCTGAAATTCCCTTGTTTTTGTCAAAAGGAAGATAAAAAAATGTTGATAGAAAAGTGTGACCCTAAAATCTAGTTGTATTTGTGTTTATGCTTTTTGATACAATAGTTTGAATTCATATTCCTCCTCTCCGAAATATAGTAACTTTAGAATGAGAACTGAGAATTACAAATCCTGTTTAGAACCAAAGGATATAGAGCCAGCTCTCTGGAATGTTTGTTTTGCAGATAAGGAAAAGGAAATTCCTATAGACTATTTCACTTGGTCAAGGCCACATGATTATTGAGTGTCAGATGCATCTTATGACCGTGGCTGTCTGGCTCTCAATCCTATTTCTTTTCTTAAACCTCCCCAGGATAATCAGTGGTATGCTGATGGCATGCATGTAGTTTGCAAAGATATTTCATCTAATTTGGGAAAATCTGAAAGATTTTAAATTACCTAATCATAGAAATATCCAAAGGTAACCAAGATCTTAGTAAGTTCCTCTTATCTGCCTTACTTCATTAGGTTTCTCACCAGCTCTGTGTTCTTAGGCATGTGCTTATTTGCATAATTGGACATGAAATATATGGTTCATAGTTGATTAAAGTAATATCACATACCAAATTAAAAAATCTAAACACAAATTCCTTTTTTAGCAAAATGGATTTTTTAATGTTTGTATGTGTAAAATTTTATGAGGCTTGCTTAAAGAAATGCCAGTAAATTTCAAATGATAGGAAACCAAATACTGTGTTAAAGATGAGCATATGCAGACGTAGGCTGAAAGTATACAACTCACTGAAAATGTTGTTTTTGTTTTGTTAACAGGGTGAACAATTGTGTTGGATTTTCAAATTATAAATTTTTCCTCCTTTTCTTGGCTTATTCTCTGCTGTATTGCCTTTTTATTGCTGCTACGGATTTACAGTATTTTATCAAATTTTGGACAGTAAGTCAATACCTTGGTGATTTTTTTCTAGCATACAAAAATATATAACAGATTTTCAGTAATTGAGTTATTTCAGATGCTGATTTTATAGACTAGAGCTCATTTATATATAGTCAATCCTCACTGTTCACAGATTCTGTGTTTGTGAATTCTCTTACTTGCTGAAATTTATTTGTAATCCCCAAATCAGTACTCACAGAGCTTTTGTGGTTCTTTGCAGACATGCACAGCGTGGGAAAAATTTGACCTGCCCCATGGGCACATTCCCAGCTGAGCTCCACAACAAACCGCCTTCTTGTTTGTTCTTAGTCTCTTCTCCTGTAAACAAGTATGCTTTTCAGTCTGTTTAGTGTCACATTTTTTGCATTTTTTATACTTATTGCTGGTGATTTTGCTATTTAAAATGGTCTTCATACATAGCGCTGAAGTGCTGACTGGTGTTTCTGAGCAAAAGAAGACTATAGCATACTTTATGGAGAAAATGCTTGTGTCGGGTAAGCTTCCTGCAGGCATGAGTCACGCTGCTGTTGGCTCTAAGTAATGAATCAATAATGTATATTAAATAACATGTCAATACGGTGTATTTAAGCAGAAATGCACATAAACAAGGTTGTGCATTGATCCTTTGACAAGAATAATGTGACCAGAGGCTCATAGGAACCTAACCCTGTATTTTCCCTGGGGCAGCGATTCCATATTTACAAATTCAGCATTCATGACACCTTTACAGAACATGACCACTGTGAATAATGAGAATTGACTATATTTGAAGTTTTATTTTCAGCATCTAAAAATTGAAGTGTTTTCTTTATGAGTAGAAAGACTGTTTTTTAAAACTATTATGTCTATAATATCCTGAGTTTTTATTAGGTATTGCTTGATTAGGCTTTAAGTAATTCATTTGTTTTCTGTGCTATATATTTTAAATGTAAGCAAAACAAAATTAAAATTGAGTATTATAAATATCCAAAGATACTCCTTGGGGCCCCCAAACAATGGTAAAAAACAAAAAACAAAAACAAAAACAAAAATAAGTTATCCCAGGCCAGGATTGCTTTATTGTTTTCATTAAATTATCCTTTATTATGATAAGAACTTTCTAAATTCCTAGATAATTTAGGTCAGATTTGAACCACATTGAATACTAAAGATTTATTGAATGCCTTTATGTGCCAGTTACATTGCCAAGCACTAGGAATATACAGGTGTATGGACATGCTGCTAGCATTCAAGAATACTTCAGTGTCTAGCATGAAGAATGATCCCTAATGAATGTCTGAAAGAATATAACCTCCCTGCTTCTCATTCCTGTGGATGGTTTTAGTTCCAAACCATAAATATATATGTAAAGGAGTGACCAGTTTTCACTGTGAGGACTCTGCTGTCAGAAGCTATGAGTGAGAGCTGGTGACCTGTGTCAATAGCGGATACTGAAATACTATGACTGTCTATCAGAAGGGGACAGGTGCTAACAGCTCTGGTGCTTTACTAAGTATCCGTAGCCCAAGCCTGCCATTCTAGAGTGGGTTTAGGTCTCCTTGGACAATACATACAAGAAGAGACAAACTGGTTTTGCTTTGAGATGGCCTGTTTTGTTACCTGGATATTGTAAGGTTTGTTTTAGACCAGTGTTATGCACTAGTGTTGATCTTTTCTGTGATGCTATTATTTAAAATAGCTTGAAGCATTATTGTGGATGTGTTGTTGTATGTGTTCTTGTTGACGCTGTTGTTTGTAGTACTGTAAAACATCAATAAGTATAGTAATTAACTGTGCCAATTAACCTTCATTTTCAGGCATTATAATAAAACTATTTAAATATTTGTAAAACTGTAGTGTGTTAAAACATTTTCAGGAAGTAAATAAAAAACTATATTTTATAGTTCTTTTATCTTGCTTCCTAGTATTATAGTTTACACATATACTACCATAATTTTTCTTTGATTCAGTTATGAAAAACAAAGTAAATATCCCAAATTTTAATATCTTTTTATATCTATATTCATTAATAGTAAACATTTTTTAAGCTTATGACATATATTTTTCCTCAAAGTTTTAACATAAAACCATGTATCTTTCTCCATATCTAAATTAAAAAAAAAAGTAGAGCAAAAAAAAAATCTTACTTACAAAAGTAGGGAAATACTTATCCCTTTGACAAAACATTTTATTTTCTTCCTTTCTTTATAGAATGGCCTACCCGATACTCAAGCCAAGTTCCATATTATGTTTTTATTCTTTGCTGCAGCTATGTTTTCTGTCAGCTTGTCCTCTCTGTTTGGCTATCATTGTTGGCTAGTCAGCAAAAATAAATCTACATTAGGTGAGTATTCCATTATTGTAGTTAACAGAACTTTAAAGACATAAATAGATACTCATCAAAAGTTGCCATATGATTAAATGCCAACCCGTCCTGATGTAAAAATCATTTTTATTCCCACACTGTTTTGTGGGATGGCGACTTAGGCACCTACAAATGCACTCGTTCTGTATATTTATTGACTGTCCATTGTGTGTAAAGCATTGTGTATATACGGTGGTGAACAAGGACAAAATAGTCTAGTGAGGGGCACAAAAAATCAATAACCAAACATAAAAGTAATTGCAAAATGCAAAGTGCTATCTAGGAAACAAACAGGATGCTGAGGTGTGGATCTGGCTGGGGACTGTGGAAGGGAACCTACTTAGAACGGTCAGGAAAGAGCTCACCAAAACAAGTATTTTACCTAAGAAGTCAGTCACGGTAAGAACCACAACATTTCAGGTAGAGAAAACAGTATGTTCAAAAGCCCCACAGAGGGGGCATGCAGCTAAAACAGCGCTCAATGGGAAATGTATACCTAGCTATAAATGATTCCATTAAAACAGAAATGTGTCAAATCAATTACTTTATATCTTAAGGAAGTACAAAAAGAACAGCAAAGTAAATCTGAAGCTAGCAAATGGTAGAAAATAACAAAGATTAGAAAGGAGGTAACAGAAATAGAGAATTTAAAAAAAGAAAAGTTCATGGGGCGCCTGGGTGGCACAGTCGGTTAAGCATCAGACTCTTGGTTTCGGCTCAGGTCATGATCTTAGGGTCCTGGAATCGAGCCCCGTGTCGGGCTCCATGCTCAGTGGGGAGTCTACTTGGGACTCTCTCTGCCTCTCCCTCTGCCCCTTCCCCTGCAGTCTCTCTTTCTCTAAAAAAATATATAAATAAATCTTTAAAAATAAATAAATTAAAAAAATTAAAAATAGAAGTTCAGTGAAATCAGTAATTGGTTCTTCAAAAATATCAACAAATTTTACAAGTCATTAGCTAGAAAGAAAAAATAAAGAAGACATTGCCAATGAAACTCAGTAATGAGAGGGGAATATTACTACTGAATTTACAGAAATAAAAGGATTATAAGTGAATACCCTGAACAACAAAATTTAGGTAGCCTAGATGAAATGGACAGACTCCAAGAAATACGCAAACTACTCTGCCCCTCTCCCTGCTCTCTCTCTCTCTGTCTTTCTTACATAAATACATAAATCTTAAACAACAACAACAACAACAACAACAAAAACCTGAACAGACCTGTAACAAGGAAGGGGATTGAATCAGTAATCAAAAGCCTCCCAACGAAGAAAAGCCCAGGACCAAATGGCTTCCCTGGTGAATTCCACCAAAAAAAATTAACATAAATTTTTCTCAAACTCTGTCAAAAATTAGAAGAGAGGATAACACTTTGTAACTCATTCTATGAGGCCAGCATTGCTCTAATACCAAGCTCAAAGATGTCTAAGACGACTGTAGACCAATACCCCTTATGAATATAGATACAAAAATCCTCAATAAAATACTGGAAAACCAAATCTAGCAGCTTATAAAAAGGATTATATACTGTGACCAAATAGGATTTATCCCAGGAATGCAAACATGTTTCAATATACAAAAATCAATCAACCACATTAATAGAATACACCACATTAATAGAGAGAAGAAAAGAAAAAACCACGTGATCAGTTCAGCTGATACAGAGAAAGTATTTGACAAAATTCAACACCCTTTTAAGATAACAAACTAGGGACACAAGGGAATTTCCTCAACACAAGGGGCTTCCTCAAGCCTTAAATGATAAAGTGCATTTATGAGAAATCTATAGCTAGTATCATACTCAATGGTGAAAAACAAAAATCTTACCCCTAAGACCAGTAACAAAACAAGGACTGCCACTTTTACTAGCACTATTTAACACTGTACTAGAAAATCTAGCCTGGAAAATTAGTCAAGAAAAATAAAGCCATCCATATTGGAAAGGAAGAAGTAAAACTATCTCTCTTTGCAGATAACATGATCTTCTATACAAAGAACCTTAAAGATACAATAATAAAAACAGAGCTAATGAACAAAATCAGCAAAGTTGCATTAGATCAATATGAAAGAAATCAGTTGTATTTCCATACACTAGCAAGGAACCATCCAAAAGGAAATTAAAGAAACAATTCTATTTACAAAAGCATCCAACATAGTAAAATGCTTAGGAATAAATTTAACTGAGGAGGTGCAACAGTAGGACACTGCAAACTACAAAGCTTGGCTGAATGAAATTAAAGACCTAGGTAAATGGTAAGACTTCCCATGCTCATATATTGGAAGATTTAATATTGTTAAGATGGCGATATGACCCAAAGTGATATACAGATTCAGGGTGATCCTGATTACGATTTCAATGGCCTTTCTTGCAGAAATGGCAAAGCTGATCCTCAAATTCATGTGACGTCGCAAGGCGCCCCGAATAGCCAAAACAGTATCCACCAAAAAATAAAACCAAGTTCTTCCTGATTTTAAAACTTACTACAAAATGACAGTGATCAAAACAGTGTGGTGTTGGCACAAGGATAGCAATATAGACCAATGGAAGAGAATGAGAGAATGAGCAATCCAGAAATAAGCCATACACCTTTGGCCAATTGATTTTCCACAAGAGTACCAAGACCATTCAATGGAGAAGATAATAGTGTCTTTAACAAATGGTGCTAAAACTATAAAACTCTTAGAAGGAAACATAAGGATAAACCCTCAGGATCTTAATATGGCAATGAATTCTTAGATACAATACCAAAAGCATAAGTAACAAAAGAAAAAAATAGATACATTGGACTCCACCAAAGTTTTAAAAATGTGTGCATCGAAGGACATTGTTAAAATAGTAAAAAGACAACCTACAGAATGAGAATAATATTTACAAATAATTTATCTAGGGGCGCCTGGGTGGCTCAGTCGTTGAGCGTCTGCCTTCGGCTCAGGTCATGATCCCAGGGTCCTGGGATCGAGTCCCACATGGGGCTCCCTCCTTGGCAGGAGGCCTGCTTCTCCCTCTCCCACTCCCCCTGCTTGTGTTCCCTCTCTCGCTGTGTCTCTCTCTGTCAAATAAATAAATAAAATATTAAAAAAACAAATATTTTATCTGACCCAGTATTCAGAATATAAAAAGAAATCATACAACTCAACAAGAAAAAGACCAACAGCCCAATTCAAAAAACTGGCAAAGAATTTGAATAGGAATTTATTTATTTATTTTAAAGATTTATTCATTTTATTTATTTGAGAGAGGGAGAGAGAATGTCAAGCAGACTCTCCACTGAGTGCTGGAGCCTGACCTGGGCTCGATCTCAGAACCCTGAGATCACAACCTGAGCCAAAACCAAGAGTTGGACACTGAAGAGTCGGACTGAGCCACTGAATAGACATTTAAATAGACATTCCTCCAGTGAAAATATACAGTTGGCCAAAATGCACATAAAAACATGCTCAACATCATTAATCATTAGGGCAGGGTAATCAAAACCATAGTTACTGCTTCACACCCAAATCAACAAAATATAAAGCAAGCGTAGCTGGGGATGTGGAGAAGTCGGAACCTTCAGACTTGGCTGCTAGGAATGTAAAATGGTGAATCCACTGTAAGCAACAGTGGCTGTCTCCTAAAAAGTTAAATATGAAATTATCATATGGACCAGCAATTGCACTCCTTGATATTTACCCCAAATAACTGAAAGCAGCGACTCCAACAGATAGTTATACGTCAGTGTTCATAGCAGCACTCTTCACAATAGCCCAAAGATGGAAACAATCCAAATGTCCATGAAAGATGAATGGGTAGAAAAAATGTGATATTTTCTAGGCAATGGAATATTACTCAGCCATAAGAAGAAATGAGATACTGATGCACACTACAACATGCATGAACCTTAAAAAATTGCTAAGTAAGAAGCTGATCTCAGAAGGTTCATATTATATAATTTCATTTATATGAAATATCCAGATTAGGTAAGTCCATAGAAAAAGAAAGCATATTGGTAGTTTTCAGAGGATGAGAAGAAGGGAGAATAGGGAGAGTCTGCTTAATGGATATGGAGTTTCTTCTGGGGTGATGAAAATATTTTTGAACTTGATAATTGCACAGAATTATGAATGTACTAAATGCCATTGATTTGTTTACTTTAAAATAGTTAATTTTGTATTCTGTGAATTTCAGTCCAGTTTAAAAAAAAAGTCCTATAGGAGAAGAGCTAGAAATATTTGGGGTTTTTTTTAAGATTTTTATTTATTGAGAGAGAGAGAGTGGTAGAGAGAGAGAGCATGAGAGGGAGGAAGGTCAGAGGGAGAAGCAGACTCCCTGCTGAGCAGGGAGCCCGACACGGGACTCGATCCTGGGACTCCAGGATCATGACCTGAGCCTAAGGCAGTCAACTGAGCCACCCAGGCACCCGAGGTAGGAGTATTTGTAACACTATCTACATGGTGAGAGCATAGAAAGCTAAAGAACGGAAAATATACTATGAGGTTTGAGAAGTAAGTAGGGACTAAGCTAAGTAGTATCTTCTAGACTAAGATTAGGAGTTCAGGAATGCAACCAGGACTTATAAATCCTTATTATCTCAAAGGACACTTCAAGCTAAGAGACACCATGATTATAGTAGTGAAGATTAATTATAGTATATAGTCAGTGAATGTTAATTTTTAACATTCAGGTGAGATCTTACTACAGCAAATATTGTTCAGGTGAACATATTGACATAGTAATTTCTAAACAAAGCATCTTATTTATTATATGTTGGATAATGAAATTATAATTCATCAGAAGAAAATGAATTATTTCTAGAAGTGTTTAATCTCTAGGAACTTCTAGATTTAACTTGTAACACTGAAAGGCCTTCCTTTGGACGATATGGTCCTACAATTATAAAAAGATTTTATTAAAAGCTGTATAACCCAGGATGACAAATGCTAAGGATCTTGCAAATTGTCACATTTTTCATAGTACCATGACTCTGTTAGAATTTTCTTTTTTAAATGATGGACAAAAAAAAAATCATACTTCTACGTTTGTTCATGTTCCCCAAATAAAAGTTTAGATTTTGTCTCTCGGCATTATTTAAGAAGCATTTAAAGGATAATGGAAGGAACGTTGATCACATTGTTCACATTCCACTCTGTCATTTATTTGCTGTGTGATCTTGGACACGTCCCACAGCCTCTCTGAATCTCGATTTCCATATGCAGAGTAGGTATAACCAGACACAGTGTTGGCTTCTGCACTGGATCCTGCTTCAGATAAGCCAGCTTTAAAGTAAATTTTTGGCTAGCTGGAAAAAAAAATGTTTGGAGAAGATAAGATTTAAATGAAATTGGAAAATGGAATTTATTGACTGAAAAAGGGAATTTGTAGAATGTATGTAAAGTACAGTGTCATTGGTTAAAAAAAAAACTGTGTAGGTTTGTGTATATCTCTATCCATTCATTCATCTATCCATCCACACATCTAACTAAAAAAGGTCCAGAAAACATAAAGTTTTAATTTTTTTGCTTATTTGTGTTTTCTAATTTTTTTTGCAATGCACTGTGCTGCTGTAATAGTTAAAGGATTCTTTAAAAAGTAAAATAAATGTAATCATATCTTATGATTATTTTAAAACAGAATAGACAGTCTGTGTTGCAGAGCTATTTATAAGTACATAAGTACTCACAAGAGGCTAGCCATCGATTTTTAGAGTTCCTCATTTAGTCCAATAATTTCTAACTATGGGGGTTCCTAGATATGTTCTGTACTCACCTGGTTGCTCTACCATCTTTTGTAGAGGCGTTTAGAAGTCCTGTATTTCGACATGGAACAGATAAGAATGGATTCAGCTTGGGTTTCAGTAAAAACATGCGACAAGTTTTTGGTGATGAAAAGAAGTACTGGTTGCTACCCATTTTTTCAAGGTATTTTGTGGTGAAAATATTCAGGTTTTAAACCAATGAAAGCAATCCAACAGAAGAACTATAATCCTGCATAGGAATTCCTGTTCTTTAAAGAATTATTTTGTGATTCACTGTTACATGGATGCAAAAGTCAGTTAACACATCATCTCCTTGCACATGCCATATGGAAGCCAATGTCTGTATCCACAAGATAACTGTATTCTGCTCGCAAACATCACATTGTGGCAGTTTCACGCTGTTGTCTTGTTTACTGCTCAATTGTAAGTTTTAATTTTCATTATAGTCTAGGTGATGGCTGCTCCTTTCCAACTTGCCTTGTTAATCAGGATCCTGAACAAGCATCTACTCCTGCAGGATTGAATTCAACATCGAAAAAGTAATTCCATATTTTTTTTCTGTTTTAGTTTCAAATAATATGTCCTATCCTCCTATGTCCTTTGGCTATATATTTCTTTGAAAAACGTTTAAGAACATAAGATAATTTACTATAATGGTTCCCACTTGGAATGAGGGAGAGAAGAAAGTACAGTTGGGGAAGGGGACGTAGTGAACTTCAAGTATAACTGATTTTTAAAAGTTAGTGCTTAAAAGAAGAGAATTTAAGTCCAGATTAGCTCCCTTGGTGATCAGGTGAGCAGACAGTAAACTTGCCCTCTGACCCTCCAGGTCCTTTCTGTCTGTGGTAATTGTAACATTATAACGAGATCAGAAGAACGTCCCTGGATTAAGCTTTTGGAGATCAAATGGAATCCCCAACACCTGCTTGATAGTGCACCATATTCTTAATGCTTGTTAAAAACCTGTAAACATTATCTGGGCCATTTTGGTGGAAAGAGAAGGGAAGGAGTCTTGGGAATTTAGTATCTGGAGACTTTTGCCCTTGCTGGAAGTCTGTTCTCGTTCCACTCTGCCAAGAATTTGAGGAAGACCTCAAAATTTGGTTTTGACTTTGGTACTAACTGGCAAAAGGCAAAACTACTTAAAATTTTTACACGCTATGTATGAATTTGTAAGTTTGTAACACTAATTTTTGTATGTTTAAGACAGATTTATTTGAATATGGCCATACCTCTAATTTTTAAATAAAAGCTGATAGCAAGAGCATAACCATAATATCCTTCTTAATTTTAGAAATGTTCTGTTGCTGGAATGCCACGCACGTAACAGCTGTACCTACACTCCTCCCATCTCATGTGGATTTCTTATTGATCCACAATACTTCCTCTGGTGGAGCCTGTCATGACCACAGAATTCTTCTTGAGTCAGTGACCCTGGTCGCCATTCCAAAACATTTTAAATTGTCACGAGATGAAGCCTATTTGCCAACCCATCGCTAGAGTGACCTTTGTACAGACTCAACAAGTTAATAAGGAGGCCATTCTGATGTGATTTATAGGGACGTTCAAAGGCACCAGAGTCTTACTGGGACATGCCCTCTGAGTTTTGTCTTGACCATTCAAGGGTTGAGGGTTTTTCTTATATCTTGATGCAGAAAAATCTCATTTGAATAGATTATTTGGAGTGTTTTCAGGTTTTTATAAAGTTTACTAGTAGTTCTCAATAATGTTTTTTGCCTTTTGAGTGGTTTTTGTAGTTCAAGGAGATTTGGGTTTCTGAGATATATCTCTCCTTCTGCTAAGTGTACCATAGGCTTTGGGAGAAATCCTAGTTCTGGCACTGTTGCCCAGTTAGGTGCTCTCATAACCACTATGGGCTTCTCTTCCCTTTCCTTTAAATTTTGGGATTGAATTTTGACAGCTGAAGTATCTTTTATATCATTCTGTCATTTCCCCTGATCAGCCCATATAAAACTGGTATGGCAAGTGATGATGTCTCCTCTGTACTCCAAAGTTTTATGTCTGGCTGTCTACTCAACTTTCCCACTTAAATATCTAAAAGTCATCTCCCACTGAACAGGTGCAAAGCAGAACTCTTGATTGCCAGACATAGACACCCTCACCTTCAGCTCAAATCTGATTCTCCTCCATTCTTCCGTATGTCGTATTAGTGACCCTCAGTCTCTCAGGTGTTCCAGCCAGGAGCTGTGGAGTCATCCTAGATTCCTCTTTCAATTACCTTGCATTTACTCCATTTGCAAATCCTTTCACATGCCCCTTCAAAATATGCCAATAATCCCAGTACTTTCTTACCACCTTCAGACTGCTTTCTGGTCCGAGCCATCATTTCTCACAGAGGTTATTTCCATGCCTTCCTTACTGATCTTTCTGATTCCATGTTTGCCCTACTCCAGTCTGTTCTCCATTAAGAATCAGATTGTGTCACTCTCATGCAGAACCCTCCGTTGGCTTCCCATCTTAATCAGCATAAAAGTGAATGCGCGTCCTTACCTTATCTGGTCTAATCTGGCCTCAGTATCTCTCTGTTGTCATCCTGTGCCACTTTCCCATCACTCACCATCCTCAGACACACAGATCTTGCTGGTCCTCAAATATACCAAGCTTGTCCCTTATTTAGTGCCTTTGTACTTGCCAGTTGCTCTTCCTAACCATTTTTCCTCCAGGTATCTGAATGCTCTTTGACCTTCTCTTCCTCACTTCTAGCTCAGATGTAACTTCACGATAGAGGCCATCTTTGAAAACCCTTTGTAAAATAGCTCCTCAACTTCTCCATACCTCTCTTTTTCTATTGTCATGGCTCTTACTGTCACCTTACTGAGTTATTATATATTTGCTATTTACTATTATTCCTCCTCAGTTACAATGACATTTCCATGCGATCAAAGACTATATTCATGGATGTAATTGGTACTTAATGAATACTGTTGAATGAATGGATCCTTCTTTGCCATTTGTTAGAGTCTTATTAGTAGTAACCAATATGCAAGGAGTCCCTACACCAGGACCTAGTTAGTATGCTGTACCTGGTATATGGTCCCTCTCTTGAAGAATAATTAGAGTAAAAGAGGATTTTTTTTTTCATATAAATAGGAGACATGCTTTTTCTTTTTTTAAGATTTACCTCCAAAATTTCAATAAGGGGATGTTAGAGTTGCACAAAATTAAACTATTTTCAAATTTTAGATATGAGGTAATTATTAAGGAACAAAAGCATATCCTTTCAAAAATATAGTATAGTCAATTCACATATGTGAAATTATTCTTGGAAGAATTTTAAGTATTTTTTTCTTTTGAACATTATTGTGATTACTATTTCAGGGTGTTCTAAAATTACACTTAGAGTTTCTATGCCAGTATTTTTTTCTATCTAAGTGAAATGTTATTTTAATTTATATTTTTATGCCATTCAATATGTCAATATATAGCATGTCTACTTAAATTTTAAAACTTACATTCTTCTTTTAAGACTCTTTATTCCCCAAATTAAATGTCACATTTGTAAGACCTGGTGATGTCAGATGTTTTCAACATTTCTGCAAGATAGTGCTCAAATTTGTTTCAGTTTCGTAGAGGAAGATAGAGAATTCTTTGTTCAAGACTAGTTAGGCCACTTTAGAAACACTAGGCCAGTTTTTCTCAAACTTGTCTTCCTACCATTACTTTCATATATTTTTTTCCATATCCACATACCACTTACAAAACTAATATTTTTATTTAATATATTTAGTTAAATTGGCACTGAAGCTTATTTTTAAATCAAACATTATGTCACTCTCATAAATGAAAACTAGTATAATTTGCCATAAATAGAATATAACTTAAAAAAATAAAATTGATAATAAAATACTGTTAAATTCTAACTAGATTCCCTTACCTGCTAAAGCCAGAGGCAGAAGCCTGTTCTCTGTATTAAAAACGGAGACTTGCCAAAGTTAAAGATGGTCACCTTACTGTGTTCAGAAGAATGAAAAGAGAATGGAAGGAAGAACGGTTTTCTCGTTGCGAGTCAGTGTGATACATGCCTTATTCCCTATGCCCCAAATTCTCTTGGGAAGTGGTTTGAATTCGGCTCTTTGAGAAACACTCCACTCAATACTATCAATAACTAACATATGATTATGATGATGATTATGATTATTCAGTCCTGAAAACCATCAGTTTCCTGCAAAGCCATTGCGAGAGTCCCAGAGCCATCTTCTCACTGATTCTCCATCTTGGACAGAGAGCGGCACAAACCCGGGGAAAGGCAAAGCTGGTAAGGGTGTGCTGACTTGGCTGCTGTTCTTAATAGATTTCATTTATAAAAGGTGTAAGGGGTGCAAAAATGCCAGCATAGTACCGACAGAATCTTTCTTGCTTCAGAGTTGAACGCCCATTGTAAATTTAGAATTATCTTCAGGAACTTCTGTTTGTAAAGGACTTTGATTAACGTCTGTTAACTGAAGATCATTTTGTGAAAGATCTGCATTGCTTTTATTCCAGCTTAAGAAACCAATAATTTCAGATGATGGACTCTGAAAAACAAACTGAGGGTTCTAGAGGGGAGGGGGTAGGGGGATGGGTTAGCCTGGTGATGGGTATTGAGGAGGGCACATTCTGCATGGAGCACTGGGTGTTATGAACAAACAATGAATCATGGAACACTGCACCAAAAAACTAATGATGTAATATATGGTGATTAACATAACAATAAAAAATTTTTAAAAAAAGAAACCAATAATTTCAAATACTGCCTATTTAATAAAATGATACAAATATACTCAAATTATACATATTTAATGGAAAATGTAATCAATTCAGACAAAAGATTGAAAAATATCTAGTAAAACGGATCTTAAATTATATGGTTCTTTTACTCAAAGATTTCCATCCAGTTTCAAAATGTCAAAGTAAAGTTACTGCATAATTACCATAACTTTAGCTGTTATTTCTTCAGATCCCACTCACATTTCCCTTGTTATCATTGTTGATTTTAATCTTTGACTGCTTCAGTCAATATAGCTTATTGGCAAAGAAAAGGCAAGGCTTTGAAATCAGACCTGATTTTAAATCCCAGTTTGGACACCTAATCAGTGTGTGATATTTGTAGTAACCTAACCTCTTTTAGATGTAGCTTTCTTTCTTTCTTTTTTTTTTTTAAGATTTTATTTATTTATTTGAGAGAGAGAGAGCATGAGTGGAGTTAGGGGCAGAGAGAGAGGGAGAAGCAGGCTCCTCACTGAGCAAGGAGCCCGACGTGGGGCTCGATCCCAAGACCCTGGGATCATGACCTGAGCCAAAGGCGGATGCTTAACTGACTAAGTCACCCAGATGCCCCTAGACGTAGCTTTCTTTCTTTAAAATGCTACTTATTTCTCAGGGTTGGTGAGGATTAACCAAAATGTGTGATCATACATGTAGCTGTATGTATATATGTGTGGTGTCCCTATAAATAAGTATAAAACCATACATCCATGATTAAGGCACTATTAGCCAGAAAAATCTCCTCTTTATTTCTAGTCCTTTCTTCAAACTCTCTCCTAGTGCTGCCTGACTTTGACTCCTTGCACTTTATTTATTTTTTAAGATTTTGTTTATTTGAGACAGCATGAGAGAGAGAGAGAGAGAGAACTCGAGCAGGGGAAAATGCAGAGGGAGAGGGAGAAGCAGGCTCCCTGCTCAGCAGGGAGCCAAGTGTGGGACTTGATGCGGGGCTTAATCCCTGGACCCCGGGATCAGGACCTGAGCCGAAGACAGACACTCAACTGACTGAGCCACCCAGTGCCCCGGCTCCCTGCACTTTAAAGTGTTTGTTGTTTTATTTGAAATCTCTTTGGGATTTAGTGATAGTGAAAAATAGTCCTAAGTAAAAATTCTAAAGTCATTAATTAACCTACAGTCATATTCTCCTAAAATACAGGCTTTCTTTAAAGAGTCTTGTTCTTAAGGAAAATAAATGCCCTCCAAAGATGCCCATCGCGTGGGTATCCATAATTTGGTCTCTCTCTCTTCACCTTCAAGCCTGTCATTCCATCATCCAATCTATGGGAAGAACTAGACATCGCCTAAATGAAAATTGATGCCACCTATTAGCCCTTTGAATCCATCAGTTTCCTTAGAGGCAAAGAAGTGATGTATAATTGGGGGTCAATTTTCGGGGGGTAGAAAGACAAAGAGCTCCCTTTCTTTCTGAAGGGATTCATGTTGCCTCATATAGTTCTGCATTAACATAGAAGCGATTTCTTAGTTTCTGTGTGCTGTTAATCATTTGGCATGTTAGGTTAATTTTCTGTTACTTGCATGGATGAATTGGGAACTTATTTAAAGTTTAAAGGGTGCTATAAAAGAAGGAAGACAAACGTGAGAAGGAAGAGGTGAGAAAGGGCTCAAAGATTAGTTTCACCAGAAGGAGGGAGGGAAATGTAGAATTAGGAACAGCACTCTAAGATGATGTGAGAATTGCCAGGTCCAGTGTATCTTTCATGTTTTTGTTCACCCGTCCCACTTCCTAAGGTGTATGTCTCTTTTTATGTATTTATTTTTTTAGAGAGGGAGAGACAGGGGGAGGGGCAGAGAGAGAGAGAGAATCCTAAGCAGATTCCGCGCCTGGTGCGGAGCCTCAGGCAGGGCTGAATCCCATGACCCTGACATCATGACCTGAGTGGAAATCAAGAGTCCAATGCTTAACCGACTGAGCCATCCAGGCGCCTCTGTATATCCCTTTTTAAAGTGCATTTTGTGACACTGGTAGTTGCCAATACTGTAGTGTGTGTGTGTGTGTGTGTGTGTGTGTGTGTGTGTGACCATCTTACAAATCTGTGCTATGTGCAGGGCACCTTTGGAATCATACTGGGGGCATTCAGGGATGAATAAACAAGTCTCTGCCTTATTTGTTCAAAAGCAACACCCCCTTGCAAACAAAATGCTAATTTATGTTCTTTTTTGAAGGTATGAGCAATCCTGCATTAACCATGGAGAATGAGACTTAACTCTTCAAACAAAATAAATTCATACTTTATGAAAGTAAGTTGTTTTTCCTTTATTGTTATGTTTTATACTTTTAACAGCTTTTCAGTTCTTTTAGGGCAAATAGTTACCGTAAACATTATTATTTGTTTTTGAGTGATTGAAATTTTAGGATGTTTTAGTTCACCCTTAGGATCCGATTAATCATGCTGGAGACCTCTGAATGTGGACCTAACTTTGGTGTTAGCTAGTATGTAATGTTAACTTGACAAGTAATAGAAATAAGTTGAACAAAATTCATTTTTATAGAAATGCACTAAATGGCAAGGATTGTTTCTAAAATATTGAACTTTACATGATGATTTTCTTGCCATATGATAGGATATTGCAATTTTTTATTTTTATTTTTTTCTATCCTTCTGATATACAGTGGTTATAACCTTGACCATCTATCAGTAGAATCTCAGTGGGTTTAAGTACAAGATAATTATATCTTGTTAGTGAAAACCTCCCTCATCCCTATTTTTGGTTACAGTAGGACCCCATATCAGGTGTTATCCTTAAAATAACAACTGTTCCCAAGTCATTTTCTTTAAACCATAAATATTTTTAAACCTGTTGCTCCAAATCAATTAAATAATCTTTAAAAAAAGATTATTTATTTATAAACCTTCAGTGAATACAATAAAGAGCCCCTTTGGAACAAAGCCATAAACACCCAAACAAAACAAACTATATGTATTGTTAGAATAAACCTAGTGTAGAGTTGAACAGTAAAGTTATCAAGACAAATCTTTATTTACAAAACTGCAATCCAGAATACTAAAGTCTAAAGAAAGCAAGAGAAGGGAATCTAAAACAAAATAATTTGTGTCAAAGTATTTCACCAATATCTGCTTTTTTTTCTTTGTTTTTTAACACATTTTAATCCTGAAAATCTGTTTGTTTGTTTTTTAAATCCGTTTCTTTGTTTTGATAGCAAAATACTGATCTGGCAATTTGCCAGTTGACTAATGTTTTGGTTTTGGATGACTGTAGTAATGGTGTAGTTGATCAGATTAATCATAACTATGGTTAGGATAGTGAAAATTTAATCTTAATTTGGTTAAGTAGCAAAGAGACAATACTAATTTTCTGGAAGTAATTCTTAAAATGTTACTATGAATACACAAATCCAAATCACTATTACCACAAATAAAATATTTTACAGAAATAATTCTATAAAGCATATAAGGTTTCACAGGATTGTTTTTCAGTATTTTGAATCATTAGTTCTAATATACCAATGTTTGTGGCATCATATATGTTAAATATTTTACAAGTTTACATAGTAATATTGTGTATAAGTCACGTAGACTTCCCACTATTTTGACACAGGACCAATGTGGTTTGATCATCATTATTCTCAACACTTTACACAATACCCGACACATAGTAGGTTCTAAATAAGCATTTTGTAAATAAATGATAGAAAAACATCATTAAAATTAAAAATCTCACAGAAACTGGTTTTATTACATACGAATATATGACATTAGTGGTCATAATAACCAAATGGCAGCATGAATCAGCTATGGTGTAAAAAAAAAAACAGTAATTTTGTGATGTAATGTTTTCATTCTATTGATCTAACTGGTGACATTTAAATGTTTCTTTAAAAAATTGAATTTTCCCAAGGTAGCTACTATTCCAAATAGTTTTTAAAAGTTTCAAAATAGTTTTTCCTGCTTTATATCTCAGACTTGCAATTTGTTCAAGTTATATATTATTATATATTATATTGAATAATATCTGATATTGCTATGCTTAATTTAATTATATTACCAAATGATATTTTCATATTCTCTTTTCTTCTTGAAGTACATTAGTAAATTATCTGTGGGATTTTTATAACATATTAATTCATCATACTTTACAGATAATTATGTACCTAGACCCATAGCAGCACTAATGTGTAAGTTACATTTAGCCTTTTCAACCTTCCCTCTTATTCAACTAAAAAATGCTGTGGTTGTACGCACATGAAATTTCAAAATTATTTTCCTAAATCCCTATTCCAACTCAGCTGTCACTCCTAAACTCCTACTGGCCTCAAACACATCCAGAAAGGAACCCTACCACTCAAATCGGGGCCCCAAACCAGCAGCATCGGCATCAGCTGGGAGCTCAATAGAAATGTATAATTTTGGACCTTACCCTAGAACTACTGAATCAGAATCTGCATTTTCACAAAATCCTCTGGTCTTGTAATATGCACATTATAGTCTGAGAAGCACTGGTGTAGAGGTCTGTATTCAAGAGCATATCTGATCTTTCTAGCCTAGAAAACATTTTAATTTTGAACAAAGAATGCTATTCAACAAACATTGAATGAATTGGTTAGTTTTTTGTTTTTTATAGTTCACACAATAGTTTCATGATTTCTGTTTCATTTCAAGGTATCAATGCTGTAGGTGGATGGAAGAGGCTTCCCACAGGAAGGCACCATTAGCCTGTTGTTCCCATTTCCCTTTGGCTGGCTATGCAGAATATGAATTGGTTAGTTCTCTCCAAGCCGTTGCTTAAAACATAACACCTTTTTAAATCCAATATACAGATTGTTTCAACTAACACGAATTCTTGTTAAATATTAGAAGTAATTAAAGTTTATGCATCAAGGGCAAAAATATCTTCTATCATAAAAACTTGGAATAAATTCATGGGCTAATTTTCAACCAAATATTTGGGTAGTACAGTGTATACACATAAAAAGCCCATTAATCATCTGATTTTCTGATTCAGAAAATTGAGCCTATTAAGATACTGAAATTTAAAAGATTTCAAATTACAGTATAATGACAGCTTTATTAGTTACCTGTGAGGTGGAGGTAGCATATCAGTCTTGTTCCTTCCCTCTGTTGTGAATCCAGCCCCAGACTGAGTGAGCTATAATGACTATGAATTCATTGCAAATTTTAAGTGGCCTTGAAGATTACCACCATTTTTGCCAGACTTTAATTCTAGCCTTTGTTCACTGCTGGAAAAGAAGTATGATCATTGAAGCCTGAGCTCACTAATAAGCAACTAGCTAGCCAATATTTGTCACAACTAATACATTACTATTACATCCAAATTTTTGTCACAACTAATACACTACTATTACACCCAAAATTTATTTTTCATCTCGTCTGACCTTCTTAAATTGGGGGAAAATCTATAAAAACAATTACGAGATTGGTTTATGATGTTCTTTTGCCAGTCTTTTTAAAAAAAAAAAATCTCAATTTTTTTAGGTTATTTGTTCTCTTGAACATTGCAAAAATATTGAATTTTTAAGAATTCTTAATGGGCCACTAGATTAATCCTCCATTGATATCTATATTATTTGTGTCCCCTCATCAAAAGTATGACAACTAAACTTTATAGTTCTTCAAATACTTAAGATTAAATTATGCAAATCATTAAAAGAAATCATATACTTTTAGAAATTTAGTTCAATATGAACTAAATGGTGTGCTGTTTGGAAATTGAGTTTAAGGTAAACAAACTAAAGTGGCGTGTTTGTTGATGCCAAAATGTTCGGCTTCAGTAAATATACTAGGAAGCTCTCGTGCCTTGTATGCACCATTTGAAAAAGTTTTATTCGTTTTTTTGAGTGGAGTGTAAGTTTTGTAAATGTTAGAGATTAGAATAAGCCGTAAACAGTTTTTGGTACTAATTTTGAGAATTTAAAGCAGATTATCTTTTAAACTTACACAGCTAAGGAACTGGTATTTAATCAAAGAGAAAATGGTATTAAACTTTTCAAAATCTGAGTTAGACAAGAATGCAACACATAATAGACTAGTAGATCAGAGGATAATGGAGTAAAAAAGATCCTTGCAAATACTCATTCTTTCTAAAAATGTAAAGTTTTGTATTTAAATGAGTTTGTGAAAGAATCGTCAGCCAAATCCATTTTATAGACCATTTGAGTGTAATTCTTAATAGGATGGCACTCTTTTCAGATTTTTTTTCTCTTTTTTTAAAAGCTAAAGACTTTGATCTGACAATCTGTTTCAGAAAATCTCAGAAGATCTGATGCATTTTTTACTTTTTACTCTTAAAGCATTTTTTGGTCATCATTGTTTTATTACCTGAAGTGCCAGATTGGAACCTATAGGTACTGCTGAAAGTCTTAAGGACAACAGCATCACGTGATGTATTAAGAATTATATGCAGCCAGGTTATTTTCAAAGCACAGTACTATAGCCATTTTTGTGGACAGGATTCTGTGATATGTTCCTTCTTGTCAAAATAGAAGATAAGAAAAAAAGGAGGGGTTTTTATTCTTTACCTTGCTAGAGTACTGTTAAATTTTTCCTTTAGGTCTTTTGTGTAATTACTGAAATACATGAGTCAGTACACATTAGAATCAGATTCAAAAACAAACTTTTACAAATAAATTTTTTCCATTAAGTTGTAATGGTTCTCTTTTTGTTTTCATACAGTGGATAATCTTTTAAGGGTTTTTGTTTTTAATCTAGGTGGGTTATCATTTTTAGAGATGATGGCATATCTCATTAGATATGCAGTATAAAGTTTACCTGAGTGAATAAGGCATCAAATAGACCTACATTTTGTACATATTTATAAAATATACCTTAAAAACACTTTAAACATTTTATTTTAAAAAATTTAATTGTTAGACTCAAACTTGAAGACACTTACACTTCAACTATCCAGATAGTCCATTTAGCTGATAATTTTGATTTTTTTTTCGTTTTTAAAAATTCTACCATATAGGTAAAATTTTTAAGAATTTTTTTTAAAATATTGTACAAATACTTCATATACTTTAGTTCACTATTTGCCATTGTGCAAAAGAGGGTTTGTATTTTCAAAGATAAACTTATTGCATCTAAATACAATGATGGGACATTCAAGGCAGTGCTTATCCATGAATCTCTCCTGTTCTACCATAATAAAGTCTGGTTGATCACCTTTACTAGCTGTCTAAATGAAATTGCCTTTGCACTGACAATCGAAATCGCTTTAAAGATACACTTTTCCTAATCGTCTACCAGAGCTACTACAGACAAAATGGATCGACAACCTGGTCAGAACATAGGTCTTTTGAGAAGAGGTGGATGACAGGAGGAGATATGTGTTGGTAAAATGCTTCTGGGGACACTTAAAAACAGACTGCAAAGCTTGAGTACACTGTGTTCAACAGATAACTGGGGGATACGGCATGTTTGACAGTAACTACGTTCTCTTAGAGAAATCAAATGCAAAGGATTTCTAGAAGGTGTTCTTAAAAAATGAAGGTAGTAATCATGTAACTCATGCTTCAAGAACCACCTGTGAAAACATTGTTACCCCCATTGTATTATGAACTAGCAGAGTTTCCCTGTTTTGACTTACATGTGTCCCACAGCACAATGTTCCGTTTATTTCCATCCTCAGAAAAAGATGTTCTACCATAAGGCAGTCTAGGTGACTAAGAGCTCACCTTTAACTGTTCTTAAACCAACAGAAAGTTGAAATAGGACTGTTTGGGCAATGCCAAACAAATCACTTGCAGCTTTTTCTCGTGGCGGGAAAGTGACAGCAGAAAACTGGTGACAATGCCCAAAGGTAGATCTTTGTTCTTGTTTGTAGCCAGGTTTCAGTATTTGTTAGCTTACTGTTGGGGGAAAAATGTGTTAAGATGATTTATCTTTTGACTCATTTCTGAGACCAGTGAGACCAAAGGGGGCCTTTTGATAAGTGATTTTAAGCTCTGGTTTATGCTATGTAAAGGAGCTCATTACTCAGAAGGGACAGTACTAGTTTATGATTTATAACTACCCTTTATGTTGCATCTTCCAGGGAAGGTTTTACAGTGTAAGGAGCTCTCCTGACCTGAATTTATTAATACTTAATAGTTCTTGTTTGACAGATAAAGGTGCTTAATTAAAATGAGAAAAAAATGCTCCAAAGTAGAATTCTGTTGATGCCAAATTAAAAAATTTATTATCACAGAAAGCTTCAGTTGTCTTTTATTCAACTATGAAAGAAGAGCTATTGTCAGAGCTTAGAATTCATCTTTTTCATTAAGTATAGCCTCCTAAAGTCTAGTAGTAAAAGCATCTTAAATGACCTAATCAAACATTTATTGTGAAAGGTGCATATTAATAAAAAGCAACCTTAATTACACACTAATCTTAATGTAACATACAAACATGTTTCTAAGTTCTTTAAAAAATCCTTAGGCAAGTAGAATCTGTGGATGAGCCCAGAATGGCTACAAAGAATCAACTGGAGGAGAGTCTGGACACACATATATAGCTCAAGTATGATGTTTTTGTTTACTCTCTTTTCACATGGTCTTTGCACTAGTGTAAGACACCAGCTAACAATGAAGTGTTTATTGTTTAGAAAAAAGAAAACAAAGGTGACAAGTGAAATGGGTACCAGCCAAACCAGAACACCGTACATTTTCACAAGGTTTTTTTTTTTTTTTTAAAGATTTTATCTTTATTTGAGACAGAGAGCGAGCGAGCAAGCACAAGCAGAGGGAGCAGCAGGTTCCTCGCTGAGCAGGGAGCCCGATGCGGTACTCAGTCCCAGGACCCCCGGATCATGACCCGAGCCGAAGGCAGACACTTAACGGACTGAGCCACCCAGGCGTCCCTTTCACAAGGTTTTAAATTTGACCAACTCAACCTTTTTCTGCTCCATGCATATTTTTACATATTCAAAGTTAACACATTTGAGATTTCAGGTTGCACTAATGTAGTGGCTTCTCAACTTCTTTGAGGAGCCTCATCTGTATTTCCACTACAAAAAGAAACTAATTCTTTGGTCACTTCAAACTTAGAATTGATTTCTCAAATAAATAATAACAGCTGGGAAAGCACTAGAACATCTGACTTATTTAGAGCCAAAGAAAAATACTCAAAATCCTTTGTTTTATAATTAACCGTCAATGTTGTGCCCAGTGTCCTCACTTTTCAACCAACTGTTCTTTCCAAAAGGCTGTCATTAAAATTTATTTTCTCTAGACACAATTCTTTGGGCTACTGCATTCAGAAACCATGACCTAAGTATCAGTAAATGGCTTTGCTTGACTAACAAATGGGCCAGTCATAAACAGACTTTGGTTGTAGCCTCATTTTCATTTCTTATTTTTGTGAAGAAATCATGTTAAGATATTCCATTTTAAAATTTCTGTTGCTTTCCCGATAGTTGGTGATGAGTGTTTGGTGTGGTTGGGTCAACATATACTGTTTTTTAGCAGTTACAGTGTCATTGCTTGACACACTATTTTGCCGTATCATTCGGTAAGATAATCCACATTCCAGTGTGCCTTCAAGGCACATCATTCAAACTGCAGTTTTCTTGTTTTGACATAATGGGTATGATCTGGTAACAGAAAAAATAATAAAGTGTTGTTGTACAGATAGACAAAGCACTCCAAATGCTTCCACGTCACCTGCGTCACTGATTTTGTGGCATACCAAAAAGGAATGTGAGATGATGAGAAAGCCAGAAGCAGTTTCTGTAGCAGCTATTCAGCCTTCCCACTGTGGTGCAAAAGTAGCCACAGACAGTACAGAAGTCAGGCGTGTGGCTGCATTCCAATAAAACTTTATTTACGGATCCTAACATTTGAATTTCATAATTTTCACATGTCAGGAAGTATTATTCTTTTGATTTCGCCCCCACCCCAACCATTTTAAAACCGCAAAAACCATTCTCATCTCACTGGCACAAAAACAGGCAACAGCCTCATTTGGGGCCTGTAGGCCATAGTTTGACGACCCTTGCTCCAGATTTAATAGAATATGGTGAGTCCAGAATTAATGGTTCGGGAACATTACAAATTATCAGCCAAATACCTCATGTCCAAAAGCTAGATTTAGTAAAGGTCATAATGTTCCTCCTATTACTGCTTAAGAGACAGAAACCAAAATTGACACAAACTATGAAATTCAGCAAGTAGGTAGCTATTCAAAAGGGAATCTTTATAATTCCTATTTTTTTTTAAGGAGGTGAAGATCAAAATAAGAAGAAACCAATTAGATCTGCTATATTGTGTCAGCTTTAAAAAGAAGCCACAGTAAGTCATATCAAATGGGTTTACTTTGTCTTTCAGAATAAATGCATTCCTGGAAAGGAGATAAAAATCAACTCTTAACATCTAGTTGAGGTATTCATAAAGAATAAGCTGACAGTGTTGAAATGCAGAAGGCTCGATTAAGAGACTAATAATTAGCTACAGTTAAAGAAGTTACTGAGTTCTGTTTAGCTGCCCAAATTAAAAAAAAAAATAAAATCTCTCAAAAAAATATTTTTAAAACAAAATTACCAGTCATCAACATATATAAGAAACCATTTCTGAAGCCTTTATTTACAAAAGCTTTAAAAACAAACAATACCCTCTGTTTTGCAAATAACGTTTAAAAAGGACCACCCAGTTACAGCATTGTAATATCATGAATAAAGAATGTACAAAGGAAACAAACCAATGTGGCTAACATTTTAAGATCTGCTAGTATTACTGATTGAAATGTAGATAACACACATCATAACTTGTAGTCTATCATTTCAGGGAAGAGTTAATGATTACCAAAATGTCTTCCTACACATGCTCTGGTCTGGTCACATATTCTGCATGGCTAAATATTTCACAGTCTCTTTTGTCAATATATATAAAATAGATTGCAAAGATATACACAAAAAAATAAACAAGCATTACACTCCTCAGGTAATTTTAATTAGCTATATATAGATAGCCATATATATATATACACACACATATATGGCTTTATATATAGAATATATTTTTGTATTTTGTTGTTTTGCACCAAATCTCTCCATTATTTATCTTTGTAACAACTATGAAAGCACAATTTTTTGTCTTCTAATTTAATTTGGTACAAAATATACCTAAAGACTTGCTATCTTTGGACTTCAATGAAATTGATTTGTGGAATCTACAAAGCAAGAGCATCGTTAAGTATGGCTATAAAATTTTTAAAAAATTAAAAATAAGGGTAAACAGTGACAGAATAAAAAGCAGATCAAAGGGAAGTGTGCTATCATAAAATAACTGCAGCTTCAATTATCTTGGATGCCAGTTTCCCGGCAGACATTAAACATCCAATCACAAGGGATCTTTCCTGAAGGGTGTAAAGCTGGTTTGAAAAATTCTTCAGTCACAGAGCAGCCTACACATGCCAATGAGAAACTGACAGACACTAGATGTGCTTGGAAGATTAAACACTACGTACAGAAACAGCAGTGACTAAGCTCCTCAGTAGTTTTTTGTCTTTTTTTTTTTTTTTTGTAGTCTTGCTGAATCAACCGTTTGCACAATGCATGTGCTATTTCCGTGGGTCAAAAACAAGTAAATATTGTATAAGGTTGGCAGATGGTCATTTTTCCAGCTAAGAGCAAGAAAAGCCAAAGTTTCTGATAAAACAGAGGATTTGAGTCAGAATCACTCTCTAAAGTGCAAAATTGATGGTCCACAATCTCAAATAGCTAAAATTTTCCTGCAGAATGGAAGGGAGACATGAAACAGGGAAATAAATTACAGTCAGTGCTAGTTAATTTAGGAAGGGGAAAAAAACAAAACAAGCCCAAGCAGGTAAAGTTTATCAAAATATTCAATATGATGCAGTTTTCCCCACTCTCTGTCACACATGCCTGCTAACAAGTATATTAAGGCCAAATTTAACCTGAATGCTTTTCTATTTATTAAGATCTGAGATAGGAATGGTCATACTAGTACTGAAAGGCAGAAAATAAAATGGGCTATGAAAAAAAAAATAGTATTATCTATTGTTCAAGGGATTCAACCAGAGATAAAACCTATATACAAGCTTGTGTATAGCTCAAATAAAAATAAAAGGACTATTTCATGTCATGACTGCTTGTTGGCTTCCTCTTCATATGCATTCCCTGTGCCATTCTGTACATAGGATGAACCAGAACCAAGGCCATACAAATGACCAC